ATCATCACCCTTATATCTTTACCAGATATCATTGCCAGTTATATTTGCCAGCTATACTTTTCCAGTTATAAACCCCCTTGCCAGTTATAAATCCTCATTTGCCAGATTATCACCCTTTGCCAGTGCCATTCCTCATTGCCAGTGTTACACCCTTGCCAGTATTATCCCATCACACTTCACTCCTCCTCCTCCTCACACCTCAGTAGGTACTACATACACAAGCTCATCATTAATAGTAGTCTAAGATAAAGTAGAAATCAGCCACACCTCTATTCTTCTTTTTCTTAGTGTTACACTCTTCCCATCAGCATTGTACAGGAGGGCAGCCTCATCAGCACCTGTAGTATCAACTTACATTAGTACTAGTGTAGTTGTCTATATCCCCTCCAAGCTCTATCTCCCTGGTTGAGTAGTTCCACAGCGGGGCCCCCGAGTATGAGTTCTGCCAAAATTTTGACTTTTTCAACACCCCCCTATCCTAGGGCTTTCCGGTGTTAAGCTCAAAAGAGTTTGTGAGAACCTTTTGCTGAGTTCGGAAAGGGATGTGTGAGGTAACCTCTGCCTTTCCTGTGTACTACACTAAACAAGACCACCAATCTTAGATTGGAAGCTTTTAATTAGTGATAGTGGAGTGTATCAAAAGATACTCTGCTGTTTAACAGGTGGACAGGTGCAAAAATGGGTTGTTGTTATGTGTAAAGATGTTGTAATATTTGTATGTAAGGGTTGTTATAATTGTAAAACCAAAATATTGGGGAACAAATAATATTATGGAGTGAGCAGTGATTTTGCCTGTTATGTGGGGGAAATGTCTGCAGGAAGTCTGCTGGGGAGAAATTACAACTGGGAGGAAGGGCCTCCTTATATAGACAACAATGAGGTATTTTGGCTCCAGGGGAGCCAGGAATGAGGGATTTTGGCTGGTTGTACAGCCTTACATGAGGGAATTTGGGCCAAGATGGAAGAATACATGAGGGGTTTTGGCTGGTGGTACAGCCTACACGATGTGATTTGAGAATTTGAGTGGTTTCCGTCGGATTGACAAGCTGTGCAACCATTGCTATGCAACCTAGCAACCTGCAGGCTGTGTTCTGTAAGCCGCATGATGTCATCCTGTATTTGAGGCTGTACGCATCGCATGACAGGTTGCCAAGGTAACCTGTATGCTGTGCCTGCATACTTCCATTGTACTTGCTTGAGACGTACAGATGTCAGTTCACACAACCCAGAGGGGTGAAATGTGTACCTGATATCCTTGTAACATGTAAGGGTGCTTGACCCCCCTACCTGTGAGTAACAGAGGGGTGTAACATGCAACACAGAAGGGTTACATGCGTCCAAACCTGCTCCTCTAGGGTGATTTTGGCCCTGGAATCCCTTCCTGGAGCCCTATTTGGTGTAATATTATTGTATATACAAGAAAATATAAAATTTTTGAAGTTGTTGGATGGGAACCCACAAAGTATCCCACACCGGGATCCTCCTTTGTCTCTCTCTTTGTCTCATTGTCCTCCCTTTGTTGGTCCTCTTTGAGCCTCCTTGCTCATCCGCTGCTCCTTAATGTTTCTCAGGTCTGCTTTCTCTTCTCTTTCTCTTCTCTTCTCAGTTCTTCTGACCTTCTCTTTTTCTCTTTCTGATTATGCAATGAACATTTTTTGTGTATAAATTTGATTGAAGAAAGCTCTCTGATTGTTCATCTGATGAAATTTTAACCGGAGAGGAAGAGAATCTTCTTTGAAGAGAAAACATTTTGGGCAACAAAAAGTGAATTTTTGTTGGAAAGACTCAAGGGTCGGAAAAAGAGGGTGAGAGCCAATGTGTTTTTTACTTTGAGGAGACTACGTGTTAAATAGTCTACATACTAGATGTCAAACAAGTGGTTGAGAAAAAATGAATATCAAAAAACATATGCTTGAAAAGATGACCGGAATAAGTGTAAGTTGATAAACACTAGACCAGGGTTCGAAGACTACAAGGATTTCAGCACTAGACAACATTACAAAATATTACACAGAAACTATCAGAAACAAAGTAAAAATCCTGAATATTATTTATCAAATCATGATTAATTTATAAATGAGATAGATGAGTTTTTTAGAGATGAGGAGAGGAGAGGCAAAATTCCAACATCATCTTCTGGCAGGATAGCTTGTGGTTTTTTTGATATAGATGGGCATACAGATGTTTTTTATTTTCAATCTTAAACTTTTGCCCAAGTTCTAAGTGTATTCATTGAGCCATGATTTTGAACTGGTATTGTCTTTCCCATGAAGCTTGGACACTTTTCCGTTTTTTCTGGTTTAGAGGATCCCATATTTCCTTGTTAATCCTTCAATATCCACGAGTTTTTTCCTTGACATCCGCAGCATCTGACCCAAGGCCAGCTCAACTGGCCTTTCTATGCAATTCCCCCTTTCTCGGTTCCAAAGTGAGGGGAAGAGGAAATCGACCTCATTTTTGGCACCGGAGACAAAATTTTGCCCTGGTCCGCCCCTCAATAACGCTTGCCAAGGTTGCCAACCTCATCACCATTGCGCTTGAGAAAAGCGGGTGGTTGCAAGGTGGTGGGTGGCAGGCTGTGACCGTGGAAAAGTGCAAATCAAAAGGTGGGATAGTAGGGGCAAAGACCCAAGAAAAAAATAAGAAAAACACAGATCTGAGGATTTTCAAATGCATAATCAAAACCAGAAGAATTGGATTGAGTCCAACAATTATAGGAAACACAATAGGCCAGTTCACGTTGCGGCTTGTTCACAAATAAAATTTCTGTGACGAGCAACGCTTAAAGACGTCTCGCTTAAGGTTTTAGTGAAGTCCCACGCACAGCATAAGCAAACAGTTTAAGCAACGAGCAGTGCGACTTTTCAGACTTGTCAATAAAAACGCCCTACGTGAACTGGGCTAATAGTTTCAATTCTTTGAGTTATGGTAATCAGAAGAGGAGCAATGTGGTTTGTCCAATGTCAGAAAAAAGGCTATAGTAATCACTCAATTTTCTTGCAAATTGAACACATCATTCCTTATCATCAGAAATCTTCAAAAAAAATGTCTGAGGGATTTCAGAATTCCAGAGTACCCAACTGAGATACATAGTGGATATGATATATACTTGCAGGGGATATAACACACATACAACTGGGATGCAGTTTGGATATACAAATACCACCTCTATAGAGGTTCCATTTTCTTTTTCTGGTGCTGAGATGTAGGAAAGCTTTCAATATATGCTTTTGTTGATCATGTTAAAACTGAGACTCATAATGAATGAGGCAAGAGGAAGAGTGACTGTCAAAAAGGAAATGTCTCAAGAGAGAGAAAGAAGAACAAATAGGGCTATGATTCTTCTAGCTTATGTGGCAGAAAATCACACAAACCACCAGAGGCTTTATGCCCTAGAGACGGATTGGACACAGAATAGTTGATGGTTTTATTTTTTATCTAGATAGAATATTATACACCATTACAACTGTGGGCTGAGCTGTGGGAAAGCAGGTGAATGAAATGCATGTTCATATGGAAAGCAAGAGGAAGGGGAAAAAAAGGAAAAAGAGGATAGTAAATTTCCAACAGAGTAAATATGAAAAAATTAAACATTGATAGTGGTCAAGAAATATATAGGAAGTGAGGCAATGATTCACAGTGTAAATTCAGATGAGTGAGGAAAACAAAATAAAAAATTCTGACATTAGCCATCATATTCTTTGCAAATCAAAAACAATATTCTGTGAAAGAAACAAGGCTTTTTCCAAAGAATACACTTTATAATGATGAAAAATGTAGCTAAAATAACTAAAACTTTGAAATCTAAGTTTCATAAATTCATAAATCTACATATAACTAAAAAACAGCCTCAGAGGGCCAAACAAACCATCAGCCTTCGATAGGTATTTGTATTGATTTCTCATGCGGCTTCTAACGCCGGTGTCAATGTTGCACATTTCAATGTCATTTCCAACATTTGCTAGGACTTTACAATCATGGCGACCTGAAGGCTATTACAATGACCTTCAAAAGTGAAGGCTATTACACCATAGGACCTTCAAACAAGTCAAACCCCCAAAATCCAGGGCAAAGACAAGCAGCCTCCCCAAATTTGGGGGCATAGACTAGTGTTTTGATAACCAATTGGTCAACTTAATTTCTAGGGAAATTTTGAGTTAAAAATCAACTTTCACTTTGATTTCATCTTATGAATGAGATTTGTGACTTCATCCAACAAACATTTTAGCACATCAACTAACATAAGATCAAATCACTATAGCATCATTGGCTTCATTCCAAATACCTTAGAGGATCATAACCAATTATCTTGTGTGTTGAGACCAAAATCCATTTCCCCAGTGAAGACCTTTGGGTTTCCCTCTCCTTAAGAATTTTGAGGAGCTCCTGGCTCTCCTCTTTTTGATGGTCAAAATTGAATTTTTTGATGTCATTGTCAAGTCCTTTAATAAATAGGCCCATGATGTGAAGTTGTTGTTCAAAAACTTCAACTTCATCCATCTCCTTCTTCAACACAATCATAATTGGCTGGTAGTATGTGTCAATATAGTCCAAAAATGAATATGCAAATAGAAGGCCCATATGTTCTTTGCTTTCATGGTTCTGGAAAAAATTGATTATTTGGAATATCATGATAATAATACCAGAGAAGTCTTCCAGTTTCTGTTTATTGTTTATGTTGCAAGAAAGTCTTTCCATATCTTCAAGATTGAAAGTTGAAAAATATTGAAAAACACTTTCAATTTCTTGATCCCTTATAGCATTCTTGTACCTTTCAAAGCTGACTTTCATAATCTGGTGCAGAAAAATTTTCCTATCTTGGTTTGAGAGGGCTATTTTGTAAAAAATATCTAGTCAGAGAGTTTCATAAAATAAAATTGTTTATGTATGTGGTATTCAATCATGATGGAAGAATGAAAGGGAGTTACATGGCATAGAAAAACACTCAATATAAGGAGCAGTTATGAGTCATGACTGCTCCTTATATTGGAGGTGTTTTTCTATGCCATGTAATTGAAGGTTTTGGCCATACCCTTCAATGGACCTGTGAAAGTGATTAAATTTCTTTGTTTGTTTGTCAGAAATCCTAGCTGTGGGATAACCACTCTCTCCCACCATGTAGCTTGGGAGGACATTAGTGAAAAAATTCTTATATGAAATTCAACCATATCAGCCACATTCTGTTGCTTAAAAGTTTGAACTTGTTGAAAGAAATCTGAAGGCAACAGATTCCAGCGATAAATTAAATCACCCATGAGGAAGATGGTTTCTATGGCTTGTAACTTCATATCCCAGTGAAAGTGGTAGCTCTGCTCATTGTGGTTTGATATAAATCCATTGAGCATTGTCTGTAGCTGATGGAATTTGCGAATAATGCAGATGTCAATTACATCATCCCATTTATTTTGATTTAATTCAGCTCTTTCACCAGTCCCCATCTGCAAGTGTGGACCTTTAATCTTTCTTCTGTGAGTTATAAGATTTGTTGGAATATCTCTGCTTCTTTCTAATTTTCCTTTTTCCCTAGATTCCAAGCTGACGGGAGTCGACAATCTCTTGCGGCTAGAAAGCCGAACCGCTTTCATTTTGAGAGAATTAAGACGCCTGATCCCCCAGCTGAGTAAATTTTGGATCTTTGGGACTTGCTGCAGTAGTGTAGGCCGTCTGTAGAAGGAAGTCGTGGCAGTCTGTAAGGAAGCTTTTCCATACAACTGTCGTACTTTCTTATAAAGTTTCAGTTTGAGGAGTTGATGGAGCTCCTCCAGATGATTACAGATCAATATGAGATCACCTCGATAACGGATGGACGAGATTTTATCACTTATTTCCTTGTTTTCATTGTCCAACAAAGCTAACAGACCTGTAAAGGATTTTCAAAACTAAGCGGCGAGATCCAACCAACGGAGACGAAAAACATATTCATCACGTTTATTGGCCTCCATCTCCTGGTGAAACCTCTCCAGCTCGTCTTGCTGTAACTTCTCCTCTGCGCGAAGTTCTATTGGAATTTTTGCGCTGGCCTTGCTTATAGAATCTTGATATCCAATTATTCCGGGTGTCAATTCCGCGCCTAGCGATACAACGTATGGATGGGCAAAAGCGAGTCAAGCAGCAAAAATTTCAACAGGCAGAATGATAAAATTGGATCCATACACTTAGAGTCTCCTGCTATATAACTAGACACTCCCTGATGTGATATTAGAGCAAGATGCCCTGCTCCTATGTACAGCGTCAGATAACACAATGAACTCTTTGGTGAAATCATCATCGTGCCGGGTTGAGTCTGAAGAGGTCTGAAGCAATGCTTTAGAGTGAAGCAACGTGGATGGAGCCACAGTTTGGGTTGAACTTGTTAGAATGGCAAAACTAAAGTCATATTTCTAGTCAGAGTTCTGATAGACATGATATAGAGAAAACATGAGTAGTGCGCCTTACCTAAAGGGCACGGGTAGGCAGACAGAAGAGTAAAGAAATCAAGTAGAGGTCACGGCACAAAAAGGTCGGTTTGCTCAAATGATGTAACAAGAAAGAAATGAGAAGCTTGAGTGAAACGATAAGAGAATGGAGAAGTAAAAGCTTTTAACAAGAAAGTCGCTTAGCGCGAGACAATGAAAATAAGAAGATGAGAATCTAGAAACGCGGTACGAGGTCGTCGCGAGTCTATTCGGTGATAGGGAAGAACAGAGGGTATGGGTATTTGGATGTGATTGGGAAAACGGTGTTTGATCTGGTTAAGGTAGGCTGGTGAGAAAAAATAGCAGATGGGGGGAAAGACAGGAAAGGAGCGATGAGCTTTATTTATAGCTTTCCATGAGCTTTGATATTCATCCGTTGACTCACGGGTATGCATGAGTATGCTTCATCGTGTTTACACCTCCATCAAGGAGGTGTGCACGGTATCCTTCGCCTGGTCGGCTTGAAGCTCTTCCTGTTCCTCGATGTCTGTGTCATCGGTATTCAGGGTACACTTTTGAGGATTAGTCTCGGTTGCAACTTCACAGGTCAGGGGCTGAGGCCCAGCCTGGTTTAGTTCAAAAGGAGAAAAGGGTCAAACTTACGGTCAGAGACTTGTTTAAGCAGCTTGTTGGTAGCATTGGTTGCCACGCCAGAATCTGTATCTTGACAGAACTTGAAGCTTAAGCTAGTGGGTAAAACATAAAACCAAATAAGTATCCACATGAAGTGTTTGTCCAAAGCTATCCGAGACCGCTTCACCGGGCAGCCGTCACAAGTTTATATCTTGAATGCGGTGGAGCACGCCTTCAAATCGCGACCGACACCAATAGGTAGCCGTACCGCAGTTAGAGCATAGGCTGTCTCAGGTACATACCAAGAGGTCTTCAAGAGGTCAACCCAACTCAGCATCAAAAAAAGTCGGGGATACTTTTGATGTCTCAGCGAGTAATGACGCTGCGTGATTCCAGTGGGGTCCACAATCGACAGTCATAGCTCGGATTTCGCTTTCTGAGCCGGACTTAAGCTCCCCGTGCCGCACTTCGCCTCCTAAGAAGTGGCTGCCGATGCGCCGATGAGATTTGTCCAATCGATCCCGGACCGGCCGGGGAACAATGTTGCAACCTGCATGGTACATCACGACCAGTAAGCCTCTCTGGAAGACAAATCGCCTCTCTTGGCAGCTCTCAACAAGGGGCTTGTAAAGGCTCGATACTGGGCCGCCAGAATACATTAATCTTCTAACTTAGCTAAGTACCTCCGGCAGTTTCATCCGATGGCTTGCCGGAGGGTCCCTGCGGGACGGCGTCCCCCCTCCGAATAAAGAGGGACTTAGTTAAGTTAGATTAAGCTTAATGCATGGAAGAGCAAGGAAAATGACACTACCAACAACCTGGGGGCCGGTTAGCGACAATATTTGCAAGGCGATGCAGCGGTATCGATGGGAGGGAGGGAAGTTTGCGACCGGGCGGACACCAAGCAGTCTTATGAGAAGGAAGAAACAAGACAAGGCCAAGTCCAGCAAGTTATGTATGTGGCGAACGTATTTCAAAGGCGGTATGTAGAGGCTTGATTGCCATGGTTTTCTTTGTTATGATGCAGACTCGGGTGCAAAGACTGCTTGAAAACAAACCTCATAAATAGAACGGATCAGAGCTGCCAAACGATTACCCATCCCTCAGGCCAATATCTAAACTGCCACTTGATTACCATCTCCGCCAATTCAAGATTAAAATTTCTTTAAGAATTTTAATAGATTACGATGAAGTTCTTCGCATTGCTCACATGTTCCATGATGATCTTGATCCAGGGCACAGGTGCCCAATCAGCGGACCCTTTGAAATGCCATAAAAATGTTAACGGCATGACCAAGCCGTGGTGTTCCGATTACCATCGTGCCTCGAAGCCCTCTGCTTCCTACTACATGCGTAAGTCATCTTTACTCAAACCGAAAAATGGCATAGCAGTAGGCATTTGATGGAATAAACTTTGTCCCTGGTTTTGTAGTGACACCCTACCAGAAACCTAAACTCAAAGGAGCTCTACCCTGTCCTTCCCTTGCGAGTTGTTGTAAACCAAATGTTTGTTTCAACTTTTCTCTTATGATTTCTCAACTTCTAGTTCATGTTCCTAGAAAATAACACTAATGTCACACTGGTCTGAATTCAAATTACAGTTTCAGCCCCCAGAAAAGCTCTATCCTGATGAATATACCCAGGTTTGCAAAACTACACCACAAAGCCCTGATGAGCCAAACATCAATTAAAATGTGCACACTCTTCTCAATGCATTCCTATCCTTTTTTTTAAAAGATACTCATGCCTTGAAGAAAAATACAAACAATAGACATTTTCCTCTATAAAAACCAGAAACTTTGACCAAAACCTGTGTATTGTCTCTCTACTATTTACAGACCATTCATGATCTTGGATCAATATCCAAATAAATCAAAATATGTACTATGTCTCTTCATTGAGAAACAAAAACAAGGTAGTGGAATAAAAGCTCACTAGAAAAAGTGTTGGATCACATGATCCATAGGCGCGATAACATCACATCCCGCTGGGCAATGTTATTGCGCCTGGGGAAAATGCGGCCCAATACTTTTTCTAGTGAAGGTGAATAATTCATTACCAGTAAATATATTGGTCCCCTTTCATTGAGACAAAAAGGGGGATAGTAGAATCAAAGGTAATTAATAAGTCCAATTGAAATGACATGACAATGGTCCAGGTTAAAGAAAGGAGAAGGACATCTGGAGTTACTAGTAGAGTTGAAGTCATGGAAAGAGTAATAATCATATTATGAGGAACTGGAAAATTTATTGAAAATTATTTTTCTAACAAAAATGTTTCTGATCCAAACAGCACCAGGTTAGCCGTTAGCCTTGCAATGTCAGTATAAAATTGTAACATACCAGTTGCTAACAGTCCTATTCTACTTGAAAGCCAATAGCTAAATAGAAATTCAAGTTATTATTGATGGAAATCATGATCAACACACTGCCAAAGTGATTGTATCAGACTGCTACATCTGACATTACATCAGATAAAAATACCTGATATTACATCAGGAAAAACTGGGATTGTATCTGTGAGAATTGATATTATATCTACCTAAAATGATAGTGTGTCTATCATGAAAGATATTGCATCAGACCAGCCTATTCAATGTCAGCATAACTGAATTCATATCAGATTATTCTATCTGATTTAATGCCCATGGGCTAAAAATTTGTATCACATGTAAAAATTCTGATATAAAATGAGTTATTTTGACATTAAATAGGTTGGGCTGATGCAATATCTGTTATGATAGATATAACATAATTCTAGGTAGATATAATATCACTCCTGATAGATATAAGACCAGTTTTGCCTGATCTAAAATCAGATTTTTCATCTGATGTAATGCCAGATGTGGGAATCTGATAGAATCACATTTGCAGTGACAGTTAATTGAATTTGCATCAACAGGTTTTCTTTGTTTGTGTTTTTTGGTTGATTCAATTTGATCGCAGTGGTCACTGTCCTACATTTTTAACATCATACAGATGAGAGACACTCCCTTAGCAGAAGAAGTGAAGCGGAAGGGTGTGATGTGCCCAGACATGATCTCTTAACTGATCAGTCAAGTTTTGAGTACACACATTTATTCAGATAACTCTTATAAATTGATAAAGGAGAGGGATTCAGGACAGCGATCAATCAAATGTGAGACTCCTGGTAGACTGTGACAGTCCCTGATCTGTGAAATCCTCTTGACACTCCACAGAACAGGCGACTACACCGCGGGTGCAATTGGGAAAAAGCGGGTTACCCCTGGGACGGCACCGGCCCAGAGCCGTCCCCGCTGGGCGTCCGACACCCCCTGGTTGCCCTCATCTCGCCAGGTCATTTTGTTGCCAACACTGGGATGACCTCCCGTGGGATTCACCCAATGGGTGTATTCTCACACCATCAATGGCCCAAGGATGCACCCAGACTGCCCGCAGGGTCAACTGCCGACACCCGCAATCAAACCCCACAGGGCAACCCATGCATGTCCTAGGGATATTCTCCAAACCCTCACACCGTATATCCCTCCTTGACGAACGCACATCTCCACCAAACCATCTCCCCTGTCAACAGACCAGCCCAACCGCAGTGCAGGAGGACAATCGACTGAAAGCAGAATATGGCCGCTTCCGTGCAATCTTTGTGCCTGCAGGGTCTCAGGCTGCCCAAAGATCCTTAAAAGCCAGTTCTGTTGATCAGGTTTCTGCTTCATCTCGCACTCTACCACTCACCTCCAATCCTGTTTGTGTATATTTTTTTCAGCTGTGATCCAAACATCAACAACAATTTCATCCTCATTTCATCATGTCAGGCTATGTTCCCTCTGAATCCGAGAGCAAGCAAGACACCCGTCACACCACCCGCTCACCAGACCCACCCCGCAACCGCCCCAGTCCTCGTCAGACCCGGTCCCAGCTGAGTCAGACTGGTCCGATATGTGGCTCAACTTGACGAGCTGGTCGCGGGCCAGCCCTTGGTATCCCACCCTTGAGGGGTCAGGTTGCCACCAACGTGGCCGCAAGTCGGCTGACTGAGCTCTGTTTGATGGCAAGCAATTCTTCTTGGGATTGGACACCAGCACCATCAAGCTCCCCACTGCCCAGGAGGTGGAGAGTTTGATGGAAACCTCAGGTGACAATGCGGAAAATGCGGAACTCGATGACGCTACATTGGCTGGATCCTGATTTTGTATTCCAGCTTGTGACAGCAAGCTGTCATTTTGCATAGCTTTTATCATCTCAGATTGTGTTTTTCTTTCCTTTCTGCTCACTTTCCCTGGCCACTTTGTACTTTTTTGTTGTGTCTACGCTCCTCACTTCTTCATCTTATGTTGTGCATAGATCTGCTTCTGTCTACAGTGTGAATACATGTCCGTGCACCCGAACCGGGATGTCTTCTTATTTAATCCACAACCGCAAGCGTACATCAAATCAGCTCTGGTGGTAGCACCTCTGTGCACCCTAGCAACTGGGAGCCGCCCGGAGAGCATAGATGGAACACCCTCAGGATGGCTCATGCGGTCAACCCAAGCGGAGGCTGAGCGGAACGGGAACGTTCCACATCCGACTCTAGCTCAGCTGCCTCTAAAAGGTTATCCTCGTTGCAGCAACAGTGTGCCCGTTGGATGGCGGACTGGGGAGCCATGAAGTTGTGGCTGGTGTCGTAGTGTGCACTGAAGCCGCTTGTCGGCTGTCCTCTCTGGAGGAGGGCATCCTGGGGGTGTAATTGGGATGGTCATAAAGCACATGCATCGGATGGCAGCCGGACGGCCGAGCTGAACGGCCTGGGGCCGGCTCTTTTTTTTGGCATGGGGAGCGACTGTGGGCTGGCCCTCCTGGTTGTTGGGGTCATCTGGGGGATGTCCCCGGGTGGGCTATCCCAGGGCTGCCCGACTGCACCCGTGGTGTATAATCTGGCTCCACAAAAGTCCCTCCTTGAACTTTCCCCATTGGACGGCCTTCTTGTCGGAGGAAACCACTTCATGAAGAACGCCAAAGGTCGAGGACTGTCATGAACTCACTCGATCAGTCGATCGTCAACAATCCGGAGAACGAATCTGTTTACCTAAAGAAACAATTAATATCACACGAAGCGGCCTGTTAGCAGAACCAATCAACTCATCCAAACTCGTATGTCTGCCTTTTTTGATTATTGTTTTGTTCTCCCTATTGTCCAATCTACCGCACTGTCCTGATCAAAAACCTTGTTGTCCGATTGCAGAATTCTTCCATTCTATCAGAAACGATATTACCTCTACCTGCTGTTTTATCCTTGTCAAATCATCAATCCCTCAGCTAGGAATCAAACTACTGCTTCCCAAAATTCCCATGTAACAATCTGTAGTCCGATGGATGATGGGATCGAGCGGGCCATTCTAACAAACGAAGAACTGCTTCAAGAAACGGCTGCGATCTTGAACCAGCAACTCTCTTCGAGTACATCCCCCGAAACTGACATTCATTCCATCCGATTCTGTTCGGACTTCCTAACCCCGAACCATGAAGCCAATTATCCAACTGATCCCCTTCAGATCAAGGGCTTCGATTCCCTGGAGCGTCCAACTCACCTAGATCAACCGATCGATCCCCGACTTGAAGCAGAGAACCCTACAGTCAATCAATCAATTTTCAATCCTCACAATATACTTGATCCTTTCTCCCCTGGTTCTCAATCAAACTTGAATTCACAAGTATTAACCAAGCCTAGACGATCTGCAAAGCGACGTAAGACCAATCTAAAGAAACACCAAAACGTCCGTCTACATGCTCTAGACATTCCCACTTGTCCCGCTGAACAGCCTGAAGTATGTACTCAAGAGTCACTAGCGGTGAATGAAATAAATATTCCCACAAATAATTTGGAACCAGCAAGCTCTAGTATCAATGGCTGTCGTGATGAGTTCTCAAGGTCAAAATTCATATCCGTCCCATCGGGGGAGGATGAGTCGCCACATGATGATCCAACGTATCAACCAGACCAAAACAAAACAAGCTTATCGGATTCGGCCATAATTCATGACGGACTTTCGACCAAGCAAGTCACAGAAACTGCTCAAGTCAAATCAATGTTCTTGTATGAGAATCCATCTTCCAATTTGATTACCGAGCGTAACATTCACCCATTGCTACAAACCATCCAACCGAGTCTACAGCTCTTCCCATCAACACAATCTCCCAATCAGACGGACTCACAATATGCTCAGACATCTCGAAAAACTGCAGACCCAACAAAACAAGCCTCAGGCTCCCCCAAGCTTCCCACGTGTCCCACTTCATATCTAGGAAATACTCAGGTCGATGTCCATGGCGCAGGGGCAGGTGGGGGAGCAGCGGCTGTTCTCGCGGCAGCTGCAGCCCAACAAGTTAGTCCCACAGCAGTGGCCATCCCACTTCAAGACATGATTGTGACGGCGCAGACGGAGGAAGTTCAGGAAGATGGATTTGGCGGAAAGGGATCGGAGGAGGGCGGGGAGCCATTACCAACGTCTTACAACCCCGACCAGTTTCGGTCCTGCAATCGGATACACTGGACCAAGGAGGAAGAAGAGCTCTTGCTGGCCGAAGTTGAGATGAACTGGGAACGATACGATTGCATGGCCCATATCATGAAGCGACATGGCCCTAGAGGCTCCGTTTCGAGAGCGTTTGCAGACCGGACGGGGGTCTCTTTGAAAGATAAAGCAGTCAATGTACGCTCAGTCTTGTCTCTCGTGAGAATCCATCACTCCTTTTCAAATTCAACTTACTTTTTTGTTTTTGTTTTTGACGATCAAGATCTCCTCAAGATGGTATCGGGATGGTACCGAAGTTAGTGCCTCAAGAAGACGAGCGTTTGCCCGCTTTAGGCCTAAACAACTCCGCGGAAAGCCAAGGAACGAGCTTCCGGGAATGGCCTGTTTGTCCGACCCTCTGACTCCTTCCGTCCCCGATACCCACAACCCCCCTCAACATTCTTCTCCCTGTGCAAGCTCTCAGTGAACTTCCCTTTTGTGGAGGTAAATCGTTAATATACCCTTCTAACATTTAATCGCCATTCTCTTCGCCCACCAGCTGTTTAAACCTATTTTTCTTTAAAGCATCATCTTTATCTCTTCTCCTCTCCACATCCATGCCTCTTTATATGTACATATGTAGAATTCAATCTCCAATTGTTTCATTGAGCGTTCACGGGGTTTTTTCGTATATCAAAATAGCAGGAAATCGACACTACATTGGATGCGGCTTCGCTGCAATTTTCATGATCCCTTTTGTCCTTCTCGCAAGGAAGCCTTGAGTGTATTGGATGGCCAAGCTGGCCTATCATGTATGAAAAACCGTTATATATGGGGAATGTACATACCTACCAGCGTACTTTTTTTATTTGCTCATGGTCCTGTGTCTTGTGTTTGGTTTTCCAATGTATGCCGGAATTTTGTAGTTAAGATAACATCTCTCCTCTTCATTTTAGTGGCCATTAATTATCATCTTGTGGCGGGCAGTCCCGTGTGCACGCCGGGGAAAATCACAAGGTTTCAAAAACACCTGTGAGGATTCACAGAAATTATTCACAGTTCAAGTTCAACACATTCAGCTCATTAATTTGTAGTCAGATTATAAAGATAATCATGGCATCAGGCCACCATAATTTACACAGGTTGTTATCTCAAGATAGTCAACAGATTTCACACTGTACATCAGCTTTTTTCAGAGATGTCTTTACTTACGGGGCTATAGGTTTTTACAAGTCATATTTTGCGTGCCTTAAGGCTTGCAAAGCCGCAGTTGTGCAAAATTCGACAAACATGCGGGTCTTGTGGAAGTTTACAAGCTATGTCACCAAAATCGTGACATGTAAAAATAACACATGTCAAATATGCCTTTCAAAAAAACCTTGAATATGCATATTATGCATAATTACCTTACATCCCATGCAACACCTGTAACCTATCACCGTGAAAATACATAACCATATCATGCAATACAAATTTACAATTCCAAACCCTGCAAACCATAAAATGACTCGAACCATATTATGCAAAGTTAACTTCTCCCAGCCTGAGGTCGAATTTTACATCCATCCCCCCAACCATATACATCCCACTTCTCCCAACTCTCCAGATCCCCCATTCCGGATCCCTCACCGCCTATACCCATCACCCTCACCCCCTATACCCATCGCGGACCCCCATACCCATCTCTGTTACCCATTATCATGACAAAAACATCAGCGAAAACCTCAAAAAGAAAAAAAGAAGCCAATGCCGAAGAGTCTAGTGGAGAAGGCAGCGACGAGGAAATCCGTGGAATTGATCAACACCTGAGAGAGACCAATTGAGAGTCCAGCGAACAGGAAAACAGTGGAAATTCTCAACCACCGAAAGAGACCAACAGCGAGGACCCCAAAGACAATTCACCCCCGTCTCGCTAGGCAGCCCCGAAGCCGAAAAAGCTGTTCATCCCCGACCTAGACGGAAACCATCAGACCTTCATTGACCATGGATGTACACTCAACAAGGAGGGGTATCCTTTGTAACCCAACGGCAACACAACCTTTGTCAAACTCCCAGAAGACACCGTCGTCAACTTTGGGATGGTCGGTTTCCCCAAAACCCAATCAGTGAATCGTCGCGGAAAGAACAAGGCGTGGAAGGTGACCCGCTATTACTGCCTCGGTGCTCTCACTTGTGACAACGATTCCTGCAAGTGGGTTGGGTCTCCTCCAACAGGCGCTGGGAAAATTCAAGAGATCATTGAGAAGTGAGCAAGCATAATTGAATTTTCTTATGCAATCCTTTTTTTTTGTTAGTGGAATGGCTTGTGAGGGCCTTGCTGGGAATTGCTTAGGCAATGTGTCGTACACCCCGTGCAACGATACAGTCTTCCGGGTCGACCAACACCAGAGCGGCTGGGGGCTTGTCAGGCATCTGGGAACCCACAATCATCCCTGGCCTGAAGCGAAGAAACCCGATCGGCTTTCTCAAGCGGAGTTTGCCAAAGAGGTCCAGAAGAACCCAAAAGCCGGCGCGTTCAAATTAAAGGTCATTTATTTTTCAAATTGCTTCGTCTTTTGATCAGGTTGCACTCACAGGACCCCACAAATCATTTCCCAATTTTCAGCTTGGGAACACAACTGAGGCCGAAGAACCTTTAACGGGGTCAGCAAGATTCATCCGGCTTATCAAAACAAGGATCGCACCGCTTACTATCGGCGAAAACTCATGGTTGACATGAACTTAACTCCGGACAAGCTTGGTGCCGGCGTGGGCGACAAATTCATCTTGGATATGTTCAACTGGAGCGAGTAAGTCCTCCCTGTTATGTCAATTACAATTCCCAAACCTGATTATATTATCATATATCTTCTATTCCAGCAGGGGCCTCTTGATCATTTCGGCCTCGTTCTTACCAAAAGCTCAACATTTCACTTTTCAAACCCCTTGGTTGGCCGAACGTCTCTTAGCTCGCGACAAAGACAACAAGCTCTACAATGGTGGATTCCTATCCGATGTCACTTACAGGTTCTTCGAAAATGGGTATCTCTTAACGACTTCGATGTATTGCGATGAGCTTGCCCGATGGATTCCAGTTCAACTATCGTGGATATGCCACTTGAGTGAAGAATATTACAAATTGCACTTCACCACCTTCTTCAAGCAATTCTTCAAGCAATCGATCGAGCGTGATGGCTTGGCATGTCAGGTTGTTGACTTCTCTGCTGCACAAGCCAATGGGTTTGTTCAAGCTTACATGGAAGTCTTCCATGAACCCGATGAACAAGTCGCAAGGGTAAAATTGTGAGGTTGTTGGGAGCACTATCACCAGTCCATCACACGAATGAAGCGCAACCGATCGGTAATCATGGCCCACAAGGAGGTAAGCCATGATCACCGGTCAGTTGTCATACCCTTCTGCAATGCTGACATGAATTAAATTTCTGTCTCTGTAGGAGCCCTTTCGAAGCGCTTGCATGGACTTATTGAACCCTTCAACTGCCGAGGGGCCTTCCCATGAGCAAAAAGTCGATTTGATCCGCCGTCAATTCCCCAAGGTCAAAAAATGGCTAGACTGGTGGACCACCGTGGATGTTGAGGCAATGCTTTTCCGAACCCGCAAGCCTTTACCTGATGACTCGCCCGATCCGCTGCCCAAGACAACCAATGGTCAGGAGAGCATGCATCGGCTCTATTACATGATCAAGTAAGTCACCTAAAATATTTTTCAGCCAGTGAGACAAGTGAGGCAGAGTGTCTGACCTCAATTCTCCTTCAGCCAGGGCCGAGAGTGCTTGATGATTGGAATGATCCATCTCTTTTCGTTTGCTAAGGTACTCGAGGACAATTGGAACACCGTGATGAAAGGTGTGGCAATCAGCTATGGGAATTGAAGGACCGAAGACCTCGGACAGGCTATGGGATTATCAACCAAACGCAAGAGGAGTCGTCAGGATCCCAACGATGGTAGACCACCGGATACCTCTGATGCCCTTCTAGGTAAAGCTAAAAAGATCAAGCTGGGTCGCCCGCCTATGTCAGCCAATTTCAAAAAAAATCCCTACTTGACTTGCCCATCGTACCGAGCAATCACAAAGAATCCAGCCCGAGCCAATCGGTGTTGGCTTGCTACCGCATTGGAGTGCATGTATGCACTTTTCAGTCCCTTGTGGCTTCAAGGTGTTAACAGAACCGGGAAGGATCTATTCTCGTTTATAATCCAGCACTTCACATCTCGGGTGGACTACGAACTGACGCTCAAGGGGACCATCCGATCAGTACTCACCCTTGGCCAAAACAAACTCTCAGACTTTGCGCACAATAAGTATCCCGATTACTTTGTCCCAGGAGACTTTGCCTCCTGTGATCACTTCCTTGAGCTTACGTTGGATCCGCTGCTCCACAAGAGCAGCCAACCAAAGGAACTATTCCTTGTCAGCGAACATCGTGAATTCACTTGCGAAGCTCACCCCGATGTCAAGCAAAGTCAACCCAAGCGCGAGGAGCAAACATCATATATCTTGAAAATTAGGCCAGCAATGTTCAATGAAAACCGCATCGCATACTCCGACCTTGGCCAACTCATCAACTTATGGCAAACCACAGGCATTCAAACTCTCAGCCCCCTTGCATGTAGAGACTGCCCTTCTTCAAAGTAAAGATGACAATTGGTACCCGTTTGGAGGTACCCGGCACCTGTTTGCCTGGTACCACCCGGACCCGCCTGGCACCCTCCAGGGGGTGCCAAGTGAGGTACCTGGTGTCCATTTCTGAGCAAAAACAAAGGCGGTACCAGGGTACCGCTAGAGGTACCCTCCTTACTGCGCAGTCACCAATGAGGGGGATGGCTGCTGCCTTCTACTCAAAAAATGGGATGATAAAGGGAGGGGTGTTGGCCAAGTGGAAAGATGGTATTCAGCCTGCTAAGAAGGGTAAATCAGATGGGAAAGGTAAAAGAAAGGTGATAGTATTAGAAGATTAGCTCAACAAGAGTGCCATTTGCACCGCGGCCACAGGTACCGCTGGTACCTGCCCAAAGTACCGCTGGTACCCTGCAGGGGGTGCCAGGTGAGGTACCTGGTGTCCATTTCTGAGAAAAACAAAGGTGGTACCAGGGTACCGCTAGAGGTACCCGGGTACTGATTGTCATCTTTACTTCAAAGCCCCCTCAACCCACCAAGCCACCGAAGAAAAAGCCAAAACTTGGCAAAGTGAATTCCGATATTTCCATCCTCCAAGACCAAACTCCCGAGGATACTCACAAGCTCTATGAATTATCTTTTCTCAAATTTGAGAAAGACTCGCCCCCCCCCCTTCATCTCTATTTCTACATGGACATCTCAACAGTCACCAACGAGCGAGCCCGCGACGGATTCATGGACAACGTGTCCTGGCCGTTCAAACTTACAGTAGGAGGATGTGTATACACCTTAATCTCACGTGGCTACTGGGGTGGATCACACTACTGGTGTAAAGTCCTGCAGACTCACGGGAAGACCACTTGGGTCTGGTTGCACAACAACGCGCAAAACGATGGCTATGCTCATCTCATAAGCGCTGTTCCTGGATCAATAGCCGGAGCGGACAAGTCTACCAGCTTTTTAATGTACTCACGTGCCTGGGATGCTTTAGAAGAGGAGCATGTTCAAGTTGCCATTCAAAAAATCAAGCACAGTCATCCAAACCCACCAGGTGAAATGATCTTCAAGAAACTCAAGAACCTTCTGACTATCTCGGCTGATGCAGAAAGTGATGCCGGCGGTGACGATGAGGATCTCCAGACATGCAAACAACCCGATTCAAACCAGGCACCCTCGGAGACCCGCCAGCCCAACGATGAGGATGAGGATGAGTACGAGGATGAACAACAGTTTGCCGTGTTTGAATCGGACTTTGTGGGACTTGCCAAAGAAGAACAACTGGTTACTCAATCGTATCGAACCAAAGGAGAGCAGACGCCTGCACCCAAGCCGGAGCAGGTGACCAAACCCGAGAAGCCCAGCAAACCAGCCATCAAGCGCAAATGGAAGCCAACCAAGGTCAAGGTCAAAAAAGATCCCCCAACTGTGAACAAGACTGCTGTCATTAAATCCGAGCTCGTCCCTCCCAACACTGCGGATCCTGCTGAGGAGCGTCCAAAGGTTGACCCGAAGAAATCCGAGATTGTCCAGCCCCACACTGCTTATCCTGCTGAGGAGCTTCCAAACGTGGTCCCGAAGCTTGTCCTCCGGCTGAAGGTGAACCCACCCATTGAACAAGGCGCAAAAGCTCCTTCATCCCAGCCGAAACTTACCAGCCCCAAGATCACCCAAACAGAAAAAAAAGCTCCATCAACCCAGCCCAAACTTACCAGCCCCGAGCAGATCACCCAGCCAAAGCGTAGGTCTCAGAGAATGAAGGTGAAGATGTAGCTTGCTGTCTTTTCCTTTTTTGGGTCTCCTTGTCTCTTTCTCTGTTTAGTTCTCCATTATTTTCCCCCTATTGTTGTGTCCATTCCATCTTGTATCCATTTTTGTGCTGCTCCTCGTGAGCTCGCAAAATATGTCTTGCAAAATTACGTCTCTGCCATCAATCCAAAATATTTGCAATCGATGTATTACAAACGTCCAAGTGATGCAAAATAATGATATGTGAAATTCAAGTCTATGCCTCAATGACCGATCTTTACTAGTCCCTTTTTGAAACTCAGGAAGGCTTGTGGAGAAAACGCTTGCAAAAAAACATTTTCTCGCCATGAAAACTATTTATGCAACCCTTCAGAAAAACAAAACATATCGCTCGTCCCAGATGGGATGTGAATATCAATTTCGCGGCCCAGCCGTAATTTTTTGCTGGTCAAAGTTTACAAGTGACTCTTTTGCAAACCAACTTTTTGGCCGATGGGTTGCAAAAACCCACTCGAACCCGGGCACTAACGAATTTTACAATCTTTTGGCTTTACATTTCATTTGACTCGCAAAAAATGGGTCGCAAAAGTCTTGCACCCGTTTACTTACTCAATGAAAGGTTTGAATCTGAGATTGAAAGACTATTGCCACAAATTAGGTATTGGGATGCAACCCTAAATGTATATTTGACCTAGCCTTTTCCACACTGAACAATGAAGAGACTACATACACACCAATTGTTGAGAACTTGAGACAAACAAGTGGGGAAATCACTGAAGTTCACATACAGAATGTCTTGTAACACTTGAGGAGATGATGAAGAAGGTTATGGTTTGGATTCACTCAGAGGAAAACTACTGGTTAAATTCTTTCTGTTAAATGGCTGTACACTGGAATTCACTTCTTAACTCAAAATTCATGCTTGAGGTGTAAAAAACACTCCCCACCATGACATAGAATCCTTTTGGCTTAAATTTGTGAGATTCAGCCAAAAGATGTATATTCAAATCATCCTGCTTTCTGGAGATGTTTCTGGAGCATGCTATTTCTTCAATCTCATTTTTCAACATGTTCCAAGTTCTTGTGCTGATGTGAGGAAGTGATTTCACAAATTTAGTTTTTTTTTCAAAGATCTTCTTCAAGTATCTTCAAAAATAATTCCAGTGCCTCCTGAGGAATGGTGGACTAGGTACAGCAAAAATCCTATTGGTTTTTCAGGCTATTAGGACGGTTCACATCTGGTTTTTTAGCCGGTCTGCTGATCAGCTGCTATGCTGGCTTGATAATGTTTCATTGTAAAATTGATAGCTTGTCCAAAAAAGATCTTGCTTTTTGGTTTCTGGTTGCTACCATTTTCTCTCAAAATATGGCCATATCCCAGCCAATTTTAATGATCATGCTGTTTCCATCTGCAGGTTCAGTTCTGATTTGCCCAAATCTTTTATCATAAATTTTACTGCCTTTTTTAATGGGAAGCTGGTGGCTGATTGTCCAGCTAGCTAAAATGCTAGATGTGAACCGTGCTATTACAGTTAGTTCCATTCCTGATTGAGTAAAATTCTATGAAGTTTAAGTTTTTATCTTGCACCACTGGATGGGTGTGGGAGGTACCTGCCAATAGGCCGGTTCACGTCTGAAGTTCAAGGCAGTTTTTAGCACATTTGTAGATAAAATTTCATGAATTTTGTCAAATCTCATGAATCATCAGGTTTGGATGCATTCGAGGTTTTTGAAAAATTTGAGAAATTCTAATGATAAATGTCATTAAATTTGCCTCAAAGCTCAGACATGAACTGTCCTAATGTGTACCAGGTACCCAAACATCATCCTTAGTGTTATACTTAGGGCCTGTACTGTAGGATTCAATTTTCAAAAATGGGCATTTTTTCCATCCTCTACACAAAAACTGCAAACAATTGGAGAGATCTGGTGTTGAAATTCTTCACTTTCATGGCAAAGACTAGCTTCTAGCTATGGTCAATTTTGATAATATAAAATTTTGAGCAAGATAAATTTTGAGAAATTGAATTTTCATGTCCTATGGTACAGGCCCTTAGGTCTACAATACTTATATTGCATTTGTGTAATTAAAAAGATAAGGGCCTGTACAACAGCTACCAATTTTGCAAACTTTCAGGTCAATTTCTGATTCACAACTCAGAAATGGTGTCCCATTCATGCATCATCCTTGATTTCTGGATTTTTGGAGCAACCCCAACATTGAATTTCAGGTTGTGAAAAGAAACCAAAATTCAAAATTGGAATTGAAAATCTGTCCAGGTGCTATGGTACATGCCCTCAATTTAATAATGTGGGAATATTATACCTGAACAAAAGCATAATAAATCAAGAAGTCCTGTTTCAGGAATGAGCAAAAAGATTTCTCCTCTTCAATTCGGGATGGTCAAAAGATGTGTGCTGGTTGAGCTGCTGATTTGGGATGAGTGTGGGGGAGGAAACAGCTGGAAAATACATAAGAGAAACTAGTTCTTTCCATGAAGTTCTGGTAAATACCGCTGGTTGGCTCTTGCAACAAGGCTGTGCAGTCAATGGTCTGAGTACCATTTTTGACAGTGGAAGGGGAGAAGTCCTAATTGCCCGAGGCGGCCCTCAGGATGCAAGTGGGCCGGGTTCGGGCCAAAAAACAGTGCCCAAACCCGCCCCACCTAATATCCCGGGTTGGGGCGGGTCGGGTCGGAAGTAAGAAAATTCTGGCCATACCTGCCCCATTATTAATAGTGGCGGGTCCGGGGCGGGTCGTAGCCAGCCCGATGCCTTGGAGCGATGGGAGAAGTCAACCTCAATAATTAATTTTTGTTTGACTGTTATGCATGTATTTACTAGTCATAGCGAGTGAAAACAAGAGAAATGGAAGCATTCAATATAATTGGAGCAATTTTTTTGACTTATTTTCATGTGTATACAAGCCTGGTAGAATAGAATGAGTGTAGGAATAGGAATAGGAAAAGGTTAAGATATGACTACAACTTCTGCTTCTTTATTGTTGTCATGTTCATCTTGATTGAACTTGTAGAGGCCCTCTTCGTGGTAGATCCAATCTTGAGCGCAAATGAGAGCTTCGAGTGTACTGGGTTTCAACCGACTCCAATAATCACTGAGTACCCGACCGCCAGTTGAAAAGGCTGACTCCAACGCTATTGATGTCATCGGAACCATCAGAATCACCTTTGCCATTGATGCAAGAGTTGAAAATCGGACCGAGTTAATCTTCCACCAAGTCAATATTTCAAAAGAGGGGCTATTGATGTCAACCGTTGTAAGACTCAAAAAGTGATTGTAAGATCCTTTTTTGCTGAATGGAGAAAGGGATGAAATGAGCTGCAAACTCTGCCTTTCTATATTATCAGAAAACAAGACCACCAAGGTAAGCTTGGCAGTTTGGTTGGTGATAATGGATTATGTTCAAAGATGGTTGTATAATTGTTGAAGGTTGATCTTGTTGTCCAAAGAATTGATTGAGTTGATGATGTTGTTTCTCGTCTTGTTGTCTTGATACTTGTGTTCTTCCTTAATGCTGTATATGTAATAGAGGTGGTTCTTGAACCCAAAGGGTCTGGGAGCACTATGCTTCAACCAGGACTGGAACAAAGGACTGGTTCTTCTGTGTAATGTTTGTGAAACTGTGTATATATTTCAACTGTGAACTGTACTACTTGTGACCCTCTTGTGTAATAAATATCTGTGACAGGTGTCCCACCAAAAATGTGTACTGAGTGGGATGAGGAGGGAAACAACTGGCAGGCAGAGGCCTCCTTATATAGTAAAATATGAGGGATTTTAGCCCCAAGGGACCCCCTGTATGAGGCATTTTAGCTGCCCTGTACCTGAAATACTGAGGGATTTTGGCTAGACTATCTACACCGCATTCCTTTTATATGTAAGCTGTAAGAAAGGAATTCATGTGTTCTGTGGCTGAATAAATGGGAATTTAACTGATACAACTGGTGGCCAACTTGTGGTTATGTAAGTATAAAAGGAATTCAAAATGGATAAAAGGAATTCAATATGCAATATGCAATATACCCCCATGCATTATACCCTCCAGCTGAGTGCCTCTGATCCTGTGATTCTCCGTGTGACATCCTTGATTCTGCGTAACTTCTGATCCAGTGGAGATATGAAGGTGGTTCCAGTGAGTGACTAGGGGTTAAATTGGCCGTAGATTCCATTTCTGACATCCATTTGTCCATATCTTGAGTCCTTCATTGATAAATAATAAAATTTTGAATTTTCTCCCTTCATACACAGGAATAATGACCACACCGTTGATTCTTGAAGATAAAGATCCAATTTGGCAGATGGTGAGGTCGCATTCAGAGTTGTTTTTTTTCCTGCAAGATAGGCTTTGAATCGATCATCGACATTGTTATCTTCTGTCGATTTGGACCGTTTGGTGTTGGATCCAGTCGTTGCTTCTTGATTGGTTTGCTTGTTCTGTTGGCGCGTGAGGTTGTCAAACCAGTCGTCGATCTTTGTTTTAATGTGTTTCAGAGTAGTTGCAGCAGTCTCAGTACCAAATTTGTCTGAGAGTAAGAAATCGATGAGCTCCAATTTGCACCAAGGGTCAAACACAAGATTGATCGCCGCAAAGTCGCTCATTTTCATCCAGTATTTGTCGTATTTTTGTTGCATTGGGGCAATCAATGCAACAATGTGTTCGGATCCGTTTTTGATTGCATCTTTGAGGTGCTTATAAATTTTTTTCATTGTGTAATATAAATGATGTGCAGTCGGATACTTCGTCATTCCAAGTTTCAATGTGGCTGTTTGTTGCAGAAGGAAGAAGAAGTATCAAAATTTGAGATCAAGGGGTGAAGAAAAGAAAAATAAAACATAACTTCTTTGAATATCTCAAGGAAATCATACATTGCTTGAATTTCTTCCCACTCCTCGGCGGTGGGACAAGTTGTGAAGTTGGCATTGTCTACTGCTAAGTTATCAAATGCCTCCTTGTAGGGTAGAGAGCTACTAAGCATCTCATAGGTCAAGTTCCATTGGGTGGGTACATTGACCGAAGTGAGGGCTCGTGGTTTGATGCGTGCTTGCTTGATCGCATCCTTGAAGGCTTGCTTACAAGATGGAGTGCTTTTTGAATATCAAACGCTTTCCCGAATTTTAATTATTGCCGCAGATAAATGCTTGAGGCCGTCCTTCACGATTAAGTTTATAATGTGAGCAGAACATCGAACGTGAAAAAATTGCCATTGAATTCAATTTCCCTCCGGCTTTGTTCTTTCAGGGAGGATAGTACATGAGCAACGGCTACGTCATTAGCACTAGCATTATCAACCGTTATAAATCCAATCTTATCGACAAGATTCCATTTGTCAATGGTGTTGAGAAGCTCTTTTCCAATCGCGAGACCTGTGTGTGGAGTTGGGAGTTCTTTGAATCTGATTAATCGTTTTTGGAGAGTCCAATCGGCCAAGATGTAGTGCGCTGAGACAACCATAAAAGGTGTTTGATTTGATGACGTCCAGAGATCAGTCGTTAACGCCATTCGATCAACCTCGGTGAGTTTATGGGCAAGATCTTTCTTCATTGACATGTGAAGGTTCATGACATCGGACTTAACAGTAGTACGCGAGAAAATCTTGAATTTAGGTTGAAGGGAAGCGATGAACTTGCGGAAGAGTGGATTGTCCATCAGTTTGAATGGTTGTTTGTGAGCAATGATCATCTGGACTAAGATCTTGCGGGATTCGTCCTGAGAAAACAACCAGTTAGTTGCAGCTCCGGAGGTTGTCTTGAGAAGCATTTGCTTGTTCTTATTCTGGAAATCACTGCATCAAGAGAGGTGTTGCCAGAGGTGGTTTGTTCCGCTTTTACTTCGACCACTCAAGGGAGTTTTGCAGCTGCAACAGATGGCTTTCAAATTTTCTCCTGTTCAAAGTACAATCATGGATGAAAAATCAGTTTGATCATCAATAAATTGAAGTGAGTAAAGAATTCTTACCCAATCCTTGCTCCTTGAAATGAGCCCATACATCACTTGTTGTTTTTCTTTTCTTGCTGGCGGGTTCAGTACTTGCTTTGGAATCTTGGTTTGAAGCTAGGTTTCTGGTATTCTTGGTGGATTTATTTGATGGAGTGGGGGTTGGGGCAGTAGGAGGGGGATCTTGAGATAATCCCTTACGAGTCTTGATGTTTGCTTCGGAGTCAGAATTGGAATCGGAATCACCGCTCAAACTCATAGTGGGTTGATCGTTAGGAGGACCGGTTGTATTGGTCCCCTTGGTGGATGACGATGTGATCTGGGAGCTCCGGGACTGTTTTCCTCTAGGCATCTTGAGGATAGGACTTTGGAGTGCTGGTGGGTAAAGTCTGACCAGCTGTTGGGGGATCCGACTAGGATATAATGAAAATATATATATCCCTGTAGTCCGATCATCGGACGGTGCCAGGGAATCCCCTATTTTGTCGGGTCGGTGGGCCAAAATTGGGCCGGCCCATCAAAGATTTAATCTGTCCATACCCGCCCCGGTAACTGCTCAGGTAATTTCGGGCCGGGTCAGTTTTAACCCACAGTCTGTCCAAACCCGCCCCGAGACCCGCCGGGTCGCGGGGCCCCGCCGGGCCGACCCGACCCACTTGCATCCTGAGGCGGCCCCGGAGGAAGGTGTCCCCCGGCATGCTACGGTACCGACCGAGCTGAAGAGGTGTTGTACCAACATAAACCTTCAGAGAAACTACTTACACCAATAGACACACTGACCACCACATGGCTATCAAACGACCCAGGTCAGCACATCGCACCGAAGGCGGAGACAAAGCCAACGAATCAATCCCCATGTCACCCTCATCATCGTCATCTACTGCGTCGGACACTGGGAGGGAGCCCAAGCGCCAGCGGTCCCAGAAGGCACCTAGACGCGATAAGCTCAGCCCTTCCTCCGCAACCTCCTCATCGCCATCATCATCCGAAGATGGGGGAGAGCCAGAAAACTCAGCAGACTGGAACCAGAAGGAAGGTATCTCGGTTCAAAAGAAGAAAAATTCAACTCTAGCCGAACACGCCAAGCGGAGACTCAGTGGAAAATTCGGTATGGTTCGGAAGAGTATGAACTTCGAACAACCCCCCTCTGGCCATTCATCACCTGCCCGAGTCCCCGGTAACGGCAGGGTAGGCGCACTCGCACGAGCAAGAGAGAACCATGCAAAAACGCGTCAAAGCATCGGAATCACTCAAGACAATCCTTTGGTGATCAGTACTGAAGTCATGAATAACAACTATGACGAATGGATGAAAATGGCCACTGACAATGTGATTGCAAAAAATGAAATAAAACTTGCTTCCTCAAGTTACGTCGGATGCTGATCGAACTCTCATGATTTCCGTTCGGGTCTGTTTACAGAAAATTAACGTGAACAACACGTGGTCATTCGCTCTAATTGATTATTTCCACGACATGTCACTGCTACGGAATCCAGAAGCAGAGGGTGGGATTAATTTTCAAAAAGTTAGCACCGGTTTTCGGATTTCCTTTTTTTTCTATTCTCAGCTTGAGGTAGTAATTGTGTTTTTGGAAGTTAAAGCAAGTCGTATCATAGGCATCTTGTACTTTAGATGGCTGTGTCAAAATCTGGACTTCCCGAGTTGACAGTGTGGCAACGGAGACTGGGAAGCTACTATCAGGCCTTGCGGAGGAAGCCAACAGTTGAGAATGCCCTTCCTTTTTTCACCCCAATGACATTTATTCGATCATTTGGCCCAATGTATCTAAAGAGCAACAACTATGACCCCTCTAGACATTTCCAACCAGATCGACGGCGAAGATGATGAGGATGTGGGAGAGGAGTCAGGACTGAAAGCACCCAAGAAAACTCGAACCCGGGCTACCAATTCAACCTCATTAGTCGAATTCAACGAGAAAATCAAAGTCAAAGAACTTGAACTTGAATTCACCGTCGACCCTCTGTTCAAAAAGACATGTGCCGACTTCGATGAAGGCGGATCTGGTGGAATTTTGTGCGTCGATCTTGCGCTCACGTAAATGTAAATCACCTGCTAATAGCACGACTCCCTCCACGTATCTTCTTCTGCGGGATTGCCATATGCACACAGAATGAGCCATTTGTCTGTTGACAGTTCCATGACTATCATTTTCGACGCCAGTGGGAAGCTGTTTTCACAAAATTCCGATGACGATCAGGCGACTCAAAATACGGCAGAAGATGAACATCCAACACTATTGGATGTTTCCAAACTGAAATGTTTGTCATCGAGACGCGCCTGGTTCTTGATTTTTAGGCTTCAAGTACTAGCATGATTGATTTGTCTCATCTCCTCCTTTTGTTACAGCTGCGTTCCTGGATTCAGTTGAAGGTTTCCAAGCTCGCTCTATATGTCCCTGTCTATCAAACTTCAAATTCTCTACCACGGACTCGATTCAATCCTTTGAAGGTCTTGCCGCGCTAGCCAACATCATGGAAAAACCTGATGAGCCCCCTATTACTCATGATACGCATGATACCGGTAACGACTTCTTCGATTCAAACGAGTCGCCTAACCTTGGCGAAGATAACTTTCAAATTCCTGACCATGAAGATGTTGATGATGAGGGGGTAGATATGGGTGAAGCTTTCAATCCGAGTGGGATCCCTAATCAAAGAGACCTTCTCATGGCACTGGTCGATGACAATTCGAAGCAGGCAGAAGGAGGACAGAGTATCTTCGGTCAAGAGAGTACCGGGATGTTTGATTACTTTGACAAAAGTATGAAGAAAAGTTGGGCGGGCCCTGAGCATTGGAAGTTGAGGAGGACTGTTGCTTTCAAATCTCGTAAGTTTGAGTCACGATGGTAGTATTAACAAAACAGATCTAGCTGCCACAAAAATTGGCTCCTCTAACCATTTCTGTACCCTTGTGTCTGTTGCTGGGTCTGCGCTAAATCGATCCTCAGGAGATGACGAAAATACGACGACGGTCAATCGCACCAAGCGGGAAAAATCGACATTTTCATTCGACTTTTTAAAACCTTTAGAAAACAGTCGTAAGTCGATTTTCCAGGCGGGTTCTGCGAGTTTGACTTTGCCTGGGTACAAGCCACCGAAGCCGAAGTCACAGCGGAGAATGATCAAAAAGATCGTTGGCAGCAAGACCGCTATTGGATCCAAGCAGATGTTGGAACAGCACTGTTTGCCGGATGATATGCATTTCAATGCTTCCCAGCTCTTGAGATTTGACATGAAGCCCAAGACAACAGTTCGTTTTCCGCTCAATTTTTATCACTTGATATAGTTCTTCATAGGATGACATGAATACTCGCGTGGATCTATCCATTGCAGTTCAATATGCGCGTCAAATCTTCAGGATCCGTGGCTCATCACCCTGGTGCCGACATTGATGAAAACTACTGGGCCCGCACTGCGGCAGCAGCAGCACAAAACAATCAAGACCAAGCGAATCAAGAGGAAGAAAGTATGCAAGAATTACCTGCTATTTATCCTTTCCTAATAGCTAATCAATGTGCACATTTGAAATCGCCAACTAGATTCCAACGATGCAATCCCATTTGCGACTCAGTTTTTCCAAGATGAACCAGATGATCAGCCGGATTTTGAAGAGGAGTTTGATAATCCGGTCGGAATGACGGGCAACCTTTCCACTGATCCGGATGACACGACGTTGAATGATCCTGCGAAGACTAAAGAGGACGAGCATGATCTAATTGCTGCCACTCAAAATCTTAACGTTCGCGCCAGACCCGAGTTCGTTAACTACGCTAAGAAAGCTAAACGGGTTGATGTCAAGAAGTTGAAGGAAAACATCTGGAGAGAACTCGAAGAACTCACCATTGAAATGGAGGCTGAAGCTGTTGAGTCAAAGATTTCTTTGGAAAATCTACACTTTTTACGCAGGTTACTTACTCATCTGAATTTTTTTTATGCGTTTTTTAAACAGAACACAACTGATCATCAAGGAGAGAGTGAAGATGCTTTAGAAGAAAATGTCGAGAACCCAGAAGGCGATGGGGGTAGCAAGAGAAGGAAGACGAAGACGTTCACCAAGGTGATCAACGGGTTGAGAACGATGTACCCACAGGAGAAGATGGAAGAAATCAGCACATCGTTTTGTTTCATATGTTTACTTCATCTGGCTAACGAGAAAGGCTTACGCATCCAATCGATCAGCCAGTCAAATCAACAACAATTACCGCTAGATTCGGCTATGAATGATGATGATGGTAACATCGATGATTCTGCTCCACTTCGACCAGATGACTCCAAATTTGTTGGTCGATTAGAAGAGTTGAAAATCTTGAAAGACGCCCTTTGATTGTCCCCCCACCAGTTTTTCTTCATGATTTGTTTCTGCATAATCTTCACCGCTCATGTGTTTCTTTTGGCTTATTCGACCAATGTTCTTTTGTTTCCCATCTCGGTTTGTTTTACTCGCTCTGTTCCTTCTATCCTGAACTTGATGAACTTGGTGATTATTAGTAGTTCACATGGAAGTCGAAATACAGTCAATTCGCAATCGTCGCGTTTTCTTCTCTGAGATCTCCATCAAAAGCTTTTTGAATTTTCTTCCGCTAATGACAAGCACGATAGATTAGAATAAGAATCCAGAAGTGGATGAATACAAACATCATTTTATGAGATAAAGTCTTATTCAGGCTTCGCCACTCGCGGGTCCAACTAAGCTGGTTGGATATGGACACTTAACAATTGCAGTAGTGTTTTTGTTGATGTGCTTCATTCGAAAAATGAAAAGAACACAGCTTACCGGAAGCACAAGATCTGTTGTTGCCAGGCACTCTGACAGAGCCGATCAAGTCCAGGTTTTCAGTATCAGACAGAAGTCACCTCTGGACCTCATTGAATTTGGGGCGTGCTCACTTCCTAACAGAGAGCTCTTGAGCTTATAATTTCATACTTCTGGACATCACAGTGTATGTAGTGCAAACGCGTATTGTAGACCCCAAAAGACAAACGTGTACGCTTTCTGAGCCTAACAGGACACTTCCTTACGTTTTTTTTGTGATGAGGAGGGGTTCAAGTGGGAATTCTACGCTGAATTTCAGCAGCAGCTTTCTGATGGAACCTTGCCTTTCTGAATATAATGGAGCCATGCATCATGTTATTTGCACCAGTTGCTATGTATTTAATTTCACTGAGTCTCACGATGTTACTTGTATGTATGTAAGACGTTTAATGATGATACTATTTTCTGGGAAGGAAATGGCTGATTGATAATATCAGTACAAGTGCCATAGAGCTAGGATATACAACTGTCGTGTTTCAGTTAAGATGATGGGTTATAACATCGAGGTTAGTTCAACTAGCTTGATGGAATCTAACTCCACGTTAAAAGATGGTAATGAAGGTTATATTAAGACTTGAGTTGTTAGTGCCGAATGAATGGCAAATCACCAGGATTGGGAGTATTGAGCGTGTTTGGAATAAAGCAGCTGAGCAAAAGTGAAAGAATAAAGAAGGCAAGGCAAGAAACAGATAGGGACAATGTATCGACTGGTCGATTTCCAATTCTAAGCCCAATCCCAAGAAATCTATCGAAAATTGAGAGGTTAGACCTAACTATATGTGTTTCTCTTTCTGATCTGGCTCTGAAGAGGGTGGACTCACAGGTATGACACCGGTGTCTAAGTTACCTAATGCTTCAAAGGTGGCCGGCGAAAGGTCCAACGAGCCGTAAGCGCAGCTGGGGCACTGGAATACAGAACATCACAGTTTTCAACATGAGCTCTTACAATGAAGAATAAATAGTAGGTAGGACAGTCAAAGAAGAACAAATAGCCGCGCAAAGTGGACGGCCGAGGGAGGCTGGAGTTACTAACCTCGTCAGTAACCTTAGCTTTCACAACCTTGTTGTTGGCGTTGTTTTTGATGGCCACAACCTTATGGCAGGGAGAACCGTTCTTATACTGGAAATCAAAAGCTCAGCGCCAGTAATCAGTAATCCAATGCAGAGAGAGAGATCCGGCGTCAAGAACTACTGGTTCGACTTACTTGGGCATAATTCATTGCCACAATATAATCCGACTTGGAGTTCACATCGCCACATGCGCCGGTATCTGGGATAAACCAAGTTCCTTTACCGCTGTAACGGCGTTCAAGTGAGCTGGTTTCTTTGGGCCCGGCCTGCACAGGCTTTGAAAGAACCATTAAAAGAGCGTGATTTAGAAATACGGCAAGAAGCGCTAACACCCAAGGTAAACGCGCCATCAATCTCGAGTGATGCATATGATATATAATAGAGAGTAGAAGATACAATGAGATCTTTCAAAAATGAGAATGAGTTTGGTTGGAGAATATAAAGATCAGGTGTCAGCTGATTGGAGATTTGCGCTTTGTATCAATACCAGTCGACGATCAATCAAAACTCGAAAAAGCTTCGATTCTTTCTTAGCCTTAATGGGTGGGGTAGGGGTTGTTCACCAGGAAGAGTTGAGGTTATCTAATCAAATTCTTGGGGGTGTGAAGCGGCATGTGTTGACTCCAGCAGACGATTCGACCAGTGGGTTTTATAGACGACAACCACGAATCCGCCCTTTGATGGTTCTTTTAATTGGTTGGGCTCCTCCTCCTTCCTCCCTCCTCCAGTCCGTCCAGCTGAACGTTCTCTTTCGATTGATGGCCTCAACGGGCATTACGTCATCCAGCCAGCTGGATCTACAGAAGGATTTGAGTGCAGAACCGGTACAAAGACCAGCTGGCAGGCCAGACAGACTGAACAGCATGAGCAGTGTAAATATCTAATTCGATCGGGAAAAAAAAAAGCCAACAAGACTTCAGACTCGGTAATCTGCATTCTCATACGCCTTTGATCTGTCGTTGGACTTGCGATCAGTCCTCCATATTTAATCTTTCTTCTCTAATCCACTACGAATACCCTGAGAGAAATACCTAAACAGTCAGCACTTTGAAAGAAAGTTTTAATTCATCAGCCAGAAAAAAGCCAAAAAAACAAAAGAAATTAACATTTCGCGCGCTGTGAAAGCGATCAACTCATCATGAGCCGAAGTGTACTCGTAAGATGATAAATGGATTTGCAAGCTTGGCTCCTTATTGACAAGACTAATTAGAAAACGATTTGCAATTTTTGAACTCGTTTGCAAGTCGCACATGGTAAATAGCCACAAACTTCAAGAATCTTTTTGTTATTTGGAATAATTAGTCGAGCATACATGATGCCCACGAAGCCAGAGGCCAGTATAAAAAAAACTTGTGGAGGCGATTATAATGTAATGTAGTGTCTGATCTCGAACACGCCCGCGATTCGATTTCCTCCGAGGAATCAGCCGAGTCGCCCGGCCACACCGATCGATCACTCGATCCCGAGGTAAACCATCGAGGGGGGTGGGCGACAGACAGTTTGGTGAATACTCAAGTAAATAAGGATACAGGCAAATCATTGTTGAAATCAAGCTTGCTTGGACTGGAAAGTGTAAAAGCAATTTGGGTGATGGGCTCTAAGGCTCGATGTAAAACCCTTTGGACATTAATCTTTTATCGCCCCCATCGACTAGTGTGTGTACATGGGCCACACTGGGCTTTTGTAGCTCTGTGGGTCGGCGAGAATGAAAGATAAGGTTCCCTTAATTCGCTTCTCGAAAGCCCTGCTACATAATCGGATGGGGCGAGCCTCATGTCAAGGATCAGGCCCTAACAATCGTCTAAGGAAGAAAGTTATACAAGCATTCGTCGAGTTTTTCAGTCGGCTTGCTTGAAGCTTTCGAGAATTTCGCCGTTCTCATGTCGATCAGTGTAAAGATATTTTGGCTAGGGGGGTGAAGGGCGGCCGGGCCTGGGCAGACACTGGGTACTGAAGAATACGATTGTTTACGCGTTTATGATAGCATTCAGTTCCACAATGATTTAAATGTGCAAACTTTTCGCTTGGCTTTGGTGCGGCCTCGACTCCCATTCAGAGCAAAAAATAAAATAAAATAAAATAAAATAAAAACTGGCATACATATAATGAGGAGCCGAACTTGATGACTTGCATATAGGACCAGCCGGAAGGCTATGATCATTATTACATCCTTCGAGGACGAACGTGCGGGCCAATAGTTTGCCCCATCGAGAATCAAGCCATGAATGGGTTTCGAAAGTCGGAATGTTTAAAGTAGTGTTGCAGAGCGCGCATGCCATTGTCAACCGCATCGTATCCTTAGTTGGGTTCATTTCATTACACGCCAAATGAGCGCAAGCCTGATTCGACAGATAGTTCGGCGCCTCATGGAAATGGCGAGTTCGTGAAGGGACGTTGTCTGCATATGTTTTAGCTAGCTTAACAAATCCCCTCGACAGAGGGCCGGAGGCAACTCGCGAAGCGAGCCTCTCATGAAAGAGGCTCGCTTCGCGAGGGGCGCTTGCGCCAGCCTGGTACAACAGGCCCTTCGATCGAGGGACTTGGGTTAAGTTAGATGTTTTAGATAACCCGAGCTTAAAAACTGAAGTCCCCCGACGGCTTCGAGGCGCGGCACCAAGCAAAAACAAAACCACCTCTTCGTGGCATTGGACGATCATTGTTTGTAAATACATATCAGCCTTCAAAGTGGCAGTGCAATCTCCCACCTGAATTTCTCAAATGTTGGTTGATGTGAATGCTGCTTGTGTGAGCTCGATCTACACCATCAAACACGAGCCACACATTTCTTGGAATGGCCACTGAAGGCCTTGTAGATTTTTGTCTGGTCGACGTGAACTGCACCTGATGTTTTTTTCTCTATCAATTCACCAGCACCAGTGCTTCGAAACATTCAAGTAGAAGCGATTTGAAAGATGTAATATCTGACCAATCATTCTTTTAAACGAGATACAGCAGCATCATATCTCGATGAGACGAGACTAGGGGCGATCGAGCCAGAGAGTGGTGTCTAGACTTGTTGTGTTTGGTCCTTCAACTCTTACTCCTCTATAGTGAGCCTCCCAAACCCCACTTCTCGAATCACACGAAAACCGGCTTGTTTTTCGATCCCAGTCTGTCCTCACGCGAGATCTTATTCTGGTCGGTGGAAGTCAGACTCCTTTGAGAGAATTGTAAAAAACAAACAGAACGCGGGTGACAAGTGTATGGATGCAAAAAGCGTATGACGGGCGCTTGGGTTGAGCTGTGTGACCAACTCTTTGTTGTGGTGGATACACAGCTAGAGGCTAGAGCCGATGAATGATTGCGCTGAGGGCTGCTGAGGGTCAGTCCGACTTCCGACTTGACACGGCAAGCTTTGTTTTCGCCCGCGTCGGCGTGTACATATACATAAGTTCGTTTGCGGTGAGCGACTAGAAATTGAGTACTCGGATTAACCACCTCAGCTTGGTCCGATTGCTTCTAGCTAGACGACACCGTTCGCCCGGTTGTACTTTTAGCACTTGACCAGGCTCGCGCCGACAGCTCAGGAAATGGTGGATTGGCCCGACAAGTCTCGGAGTAATTATCAAACCAACGTGGTTGCCGAGGTTGTCGTTACTGCTTCTGTTTCGCTCGCCTGGTCTAGAGTTGTGCAACTGGAAGTCTCCTTACAAGATGAATATTACCAGAGGAAGGTAAGGAATATAAAGTGTCACTATCATGTGCTCTAAAGGCGATCATTCAACAATCCACTCACACTCCAAAGAAGCAGTTTTTCTTTTCACCTTATTATTATTCTGAATCTCATAATTAATTGTGTACCTTCAATACTTATTTCGTTATTTAACATATTTTAACCCAATCTTTACATTTAATTTTCACAAGTTCTATTTTATTTCTCCTTCCCACTCAACTTTTCCTCCCGAGACTTAATAATCGCGCCGTGCGCTTTTATCAAGTCGAACCACATAATGCCTTCCACTTCTGTCATCACATCTTGCACTGTTGTTGCAGCAATCGCCTACTTGACCATGTCAAACCCTCTCCCTCAAACACCAAGCAACGCGGCCTCCAATCCCAGCTTGGTCAGTCAATTTATCTTCAAATTTCAACTTTCGGTCTCACGTTCTTGATGCTAACATAATTTCCAATCGATCACAGAGCTCACAAGGCATGGGTGCTTCAGCCTCAGGCATGGGATCGGCTCCGGGAAGCATGGACTCGGGAGCCATGGGTGGAAATGGTATGGGCAACATGGGAAGCGGAATGGGAAATCCCACTCCGAAAACTTCAGCATCACCTGCCGGAGGAAACAGCAGCATGGGACCATACGCTTCAGCGCCCAATGGAGCTTCAGCCGCACCTCATCCTAAAGGTCAATCAAGTATGAACATGGATGCCGGTTCCCCTGCCATGCCCGGCAGCACGAAACCTGCCCCCAGCATGTCACCTAGTCCAAACTCAGCAACTAGTCGCCCAATGGCCGGAGGAATGGATGTAAGTCTATCAAATGTGTGAAATAATCCCTCTTACAGTGACTGACTGACGTTTGCATCATCATTACCAGTATTCTTCGCAGAAGAACCACACAAACACCATGCCAGGCGCAAGCGATATGGGCTCCTCTGGCATGGGCACCGATTCTTATGCCAGTGCAGCAGGAATGAGCGGAGCAGGAATGAGCGGAAATAGTACCACAGGCTCTACCCCCAACGTAAGTCGATTTTTGGAGTCATCTGTAACTGTTGGAAGGAATCCCCCCATTTTTTTTTTTCTTGAGCCTGACATTTCCTTCACCTTGTGCTACACAGAAACATATGCCTGCTCCCTCAAGCGCTGCGGGCTTTAGCCATTATTTGTTCGAAGTCTCGGGCGCAGCAATGGCGTTTGTTCTCTTCGCCTAAGTTGTTTTTTGTTTGTTTGTTTGTGATACATTCCGCAGGAATCATACGGGTGTTTAATGTTGTCCGGAAGAAGATCGAATCCATTCTTGAATTAATAATTTTAATAGTTCTTGAGGAACTAAATCAGGCCATTTAGAAATTTCTTATTTCATCATGATGCCCACTTGTGTTTACTTGAAAAAAAATATTTTCATTTCAGTCCTGCAAAGATCAGGAAAGCTCTTGAAATTTGCACCAATAAATACAACCAACACCCACGCTCATTGGGTGCCATTTATTGAGATTTTGCTTCTTAGCTTCCTTGTTACATAGGTAACAAGCTGATTTGGGACAAGTTGTCAAAGAAATTTAAAGAAATTGCAATATCATTCAAGTCTGTCTCTGCTTTTTAATTCCTAAAACACACTTTTTTCACCAGTAACTCTTCTTGTAATATTCAAATTCTGAAGCAAATTCTTGCTTGGACTTCAAAAATTTATCTGTGCCTAGAAGACCCTGATCATCCTTGGTTGTTGCATGGAAACAGTCCCATAGCCAAAACAATCCAGAACATGTCAAAATGTTTTAGGACTTTACTTTCAGCAAGCCTGTCAGGTGTCAGATTTTCCCAACTGCAACAGTGAAAGCGGAAAGGTATTGCAACATAAATACAAGAAAGTAAAAATCCCCCTTCCATGTACAAATGAGACAATACTTGAAGCTTAGCAGGTGAAATGAGACAATAGGTCACTAGAGGACAAACAAAATTTGGTGAGACCAAAACACCATGAAACTTAAGTAAGGCCAAAATTGCGCACTTAAGAAGATTTTTATATCTAAGACTCATTCCTTATTCTCAAAACTATCAAAATCTCTTCTTGCCCATATTCAACTCCCAAAGAATCAATGCAGCACACTTAGCCACTTGGACAAGAAGACAAGTGAGCCATACTGCATCAAGAAATCATGTAACAAGGGTAGAGAGCTAGCTTATACCAACGCTGTAACAGATACGATACACTGTGTGTATCATGGAGAATTCTGCAAAGCTGCATGGCCAAAAACCAAATTTGTTGAATCTCCTTGCAAATAAAAGCAGATTGGTCAGATAGTTTTTTTTTATTGGGGCTCAGATACATAGTGATACATGGCAGATATGTGGCAGATACCGTATCTGTTTCAGCGTTGCTTGTACTTTGATCAATGCACAGACTACAATCTAGCAGACCCTGCACCAATATTTCTTCTCAATAAAATTAAAAATTGGTTGAACATAAGTAAATAGTAGGTTTCATAATAACAATTGATGAGGAAGAATTGTGAGTTACAGTTCAGTTTTAGCAAGCACAGGATCCAAGGCTTAGTTTCTAATTTGAATTGGTTTAAGTTTTTAATTTATCCCCAATTTCTTTTTAATTCCATACCTGAGTTTAGTAACACATAGATGTTTTTGAGTCCAAAAACACTTAAAACACTGTGAAAAGGTTTTGATCACAATTTGAAAGTTTGCAGTTACATCGCCTGGCAGTGTGTGATGTAACTGCCCATTTTTACAATTTTGTCAAATCCCTTTTGTCCAAAATTGTGAAGTATATGATCAAATGTACATTTTGTGTGCACCATGTGATAATGGACAACTTCCTGTCAATATCTGTGGGTCTCACTGAGCCAATTTAGAGCCTTGAAAATCAAATTTCTCTGTGAGAATCAAGTTTTTCAAGTCTAGATCTACTTCTGTGAGGGTCCCAGATCTGGTGGGTGCTGGGCAGTCCTACAATGTTGCATGAAGCATGGAATGTAACCATGCATTTTAAAATGTGATTGAATTGTTTTTGTAATGAATATCCCTGAGTGAAAATTCTGAGCTTAATTCAAGGCTGAAAATAAGTTCATAATTTGATAAATCAGACGCACAAATTATAACATGAAGCTTGTAACAGTATAATATAGTAAATTTTAACCAATCTACTGAAAATTAACTATGATCTGTTGGTTGCCATATGTTTTTCAGCTAGTTTGAGGTTATCTAGGGTATTCAAAGCTCAAGTAACATAGCCCATATACCCCTTGCTCATCAACTCATGAGGTTGAGAGAGCAACCCTCCTACAAAACAGACTCTGCAAAGGGGTCACTTTTTAGCCATGGTGGTCCAATGTCAATACTTCATGTTATTTGGTGCTGCATATCCTGAAACTGATTTGAGGAGTGGTAATTAGAATGATGGCTTTGATTCAATATAGAATGAACATCTAGACTTGAACATCACAGTGGAAATAAATCCAAGAATGAGTCCTCTAGAGATGTAATCAGGTAACCAGAAACAGGTTCCAGGTGCTGGTGCAGGTGTTGACATTTGAGGTGAATAAAACAGGCGGGTACCTGGACCAAGTACCCAACTTACACCCACCCTGATGATGTATTATTCAGGAGGCACCGACTCAGCCTTTCAGAAGTCACCAAAGGTATGGTGGTGGCATTTTAATCTAAGAATGGGAAAATAAAACATGGGGTATTGCATTAATGGAAGTTGAATAAGGCAAATGAAGCCAAGCAAAAGGGTAAAGCTGAAGATAGATCAGAGAGAAGGGGAGGTGAAATACTTTGTTATTCATTTATTTCTATGTTGTTCATGTATCTAGTCAATTTTAGTCATATATCTAGCCAATTTTATTCATATATCTAGTCATTCAGCAATACAAGGGTCGGATTTCTGGGCTTATTTGTCAGCCAAAAATCCTCAACACTCACAGGTATTCACCCTGGCGGGTGTAGGTGTCCACAATGTTGGATTTTTGAGGTGAGTCCTCTGTGTTGGTTGGAGAAAATTCCCTTCAAGCATCTACCTAAACACATCATCCTTCTGAAAACAAAACATAGGTAAAATAGGCAGTAATTTTAATCCAAGAGCAATCCACTTTCAATGGCATCAGAGGCAGAAACTTGAATCCCCACTTTGAAATTGGATTGGATTGATTGTGAAAAGAAATCCAGAAACTGCCTAAGAGGAGAAACCTTGAATTTATATTTCATTGGTTGAGATGAAGCCATTTTAGTTATTCCTAGCTGGCACTGTTGCTGGCACAGCATCAAACCAGCTAATTATGATGCTACATTACAAAAAGGGTTGGATCACATTCTGGGAAATTTGAATGAAGAATTCAATCACTTTTTGTGAATGCAAAATGACATTGCATGTGACATACAATGTTATTGTGCATTCACAGAATGTGATGCAATCCTTTTTGTAGTGCTAGTGCTATCTGAAGGGAAATTGAATAGAGGACAACAGTGATTTCTTGAGAATCTGTGTTCCAGATGAGTCAACAATTAGCTGCTTGTTAAGTTGACTATTAAGGGTGTATGAAATTATAAAATCTACTCTGTGAGGTTACCCAACCCCAAATAATCACCCCTACTGGAAGTCATAATTTGCCAACCTGGAAGTCTGGGATGTTGTTTCATTTTTATCCCAAGCACCAGGTTTCAAAATTCCATTCAAACTGGTTGATGAAGCCACAAACTGCACCCACCCCCTCCCTTCTTTTTCAAATTTGTATGTACATACAACATGTTTTTTGATCATTCAAAAATCATTTCATGCCAAAACTTATCAATTAGAATTGCAACCCTCTCTCTATATGTAAATGGCTTGTGGGATTCTTTGGGGCACAGGAAGGAGAAACACTTACCAATCAGCATGCAGCTTGGGCTGAAGCCTCACAGCAAAAAATCTTTCCTGAACATCACTCTTGTTGGACTCCTAGTCCTAAATACCTGTGCAAATGGGTCACATGATGGGGGGTCATCTGTTTGTATGAAATGTGGAGGAAACCGTGGAACCGGCACTGGATGCACAAAAATGTCTCCTGACATTGAACATTCATGTGGTTCAGTCAACTTTGGAACCAACAGGATCATTTGCATGTGACCTCTATCCCTGAACTTGTGTCACATGCTTGTGAAATCAAAGAAGCATGAATGACATATTGGGAAGAACTACAAGCTGTCCAGTGTCAAGAAATTCTTAACAAAACCAAAAATGCCATTGATAAAAAAACTCATATTTTGCTCATACACCCAACTTTACATTTTTTAAAGAGGCTGTGGGAATGTATCCTGTTTTTCCACTCTCAATCCCACTTTTTTGGATTATTTTTTTTGTGATCAAGGTAAGTTCTCAATTAATACTTACCTTGCGCTTTACAAAAGGGTGCAGAATTTTTCACGGTAACAACCATGCATTCCCATGTATAAATCCACTTTTGTTTTCCCCCCTGTTTTTACCAGTGATGAAATTGTTAATAAGAGTTATTCTGAGGGGATCAATATATAGTGCTTTTCAACTTGATTTGCTGAATTGAAAACAGTTCAGAATTTTACTCAAATTCAGATTGCCAAATTTGGGATACTTTGTTTTTTGGGACCAAAGCTGCCAGCCTCTGAGATGCCCAAAGCTTCACTCTTCTAGCTACACAAGGCGCAAGATCATGGGATGGATGGATGTACAGTGGGTAAGGTTCCGAACCGGACCCCGCAGATCCGGCGAGCTCCGGGAAACGGAGGTACCGGTTCCGGTTTTGGGATTGGGTTGTGGAGATCCGGCATCCGGCCGGATTCCTCCCTTCTTGGGGTAGAGGCCTCAATGGCTATCTGAGGGGTCAAAGATCTCTCAAGTTTTTGTTGTTGTTGAAGTTGAGACCCGCAATCGAACGTGATGCTGTCCTCGTGTGTTTTCTCAGCCCCAGCGCCTGTTTTTTTATCTCGATTTTTCAAAAAACCCGGTTCCAACAACGCGTTTGACAATAATAAAAATAAATCTCGTCAATTTCTATTCAGGATGACATGTTCCGAGCACCTGACTCTACCCCATCCGCGCCTGCACCATTGACTCCTGATCATCTGGCCAATGCCTTCAAATTCAATAGCCTCAAGGCGCGCTCGTCTTCTGCCGCTCTATGTAGGCAACAGTGTGACTCATCATCAAGTTCATTAAGCCCAACCAGCCCAACCACAGCTTAATCCGGTCGCACAATCGGCAGACTCACTCGATGAGGCCGATATACTGAAAATTGTTTCCTTTCCGGAACCTTATTGAACACGTTTATGGATCACCTCCGGGAAGGTCCTTGGTTTGGCTCAAATCCGGTAAAAACCGGCACTGGTCTCAATATCCGCGGTGTCCGGGTTCGGTATGGGTGAAATCCGGCTCCAAGGCACCGGTTCGGAACCTTAACAGTGGGTGGACCGTTATTTTTGGCTGCTTGTTTTGGATTCCAGAGCTTCAAAGCACAAACTTGAAGTCACAAGAATTGGTGAAGTGGTGCAGAATAGGTCCCAAAGAATGAATATGAAAAAATAAAAACAAAAAATAAAGTTTCAAAATTTGTGAAAAATAAAAAATAAAAATGTTTTTTTCCAAAAGCTTTGTTATTGATTTTGGGGGAGTGGGAGTGCTGAGAGAAAGAAAGAGTGGAACATGGGAAAAATGATTATAAATGAAAAAAATTGGAACCAAAAAAGGTTTGGCCAGGTTGGTTGTCTAGATTGGAGCCAAAACAGTAAATTCTAGTGCTTGACTGCAATGTGGCCCTGGGCTGGTGAATGCCCCACTCAACAGCTGTTTGAAGCCATCTGGAAACCAATTTTTGCAAAATTTTCATTTATAATCATTTTTCTAACATCCCAATCTTCATCTCTCTCAGCACTCTCAATCCCCCAAAATGAATTTCAAAGCTTTTGAGAAAAAAAAAAATTATTTTTTATTTTTCTCAAATTTTGAAACTTTGTTTTTTGTGTTTATTTTTTCATATTCATTCTTTGGGACCTATTCTGCACCACTTCACTAATTCTTGTGACTTCAAGTTTGTGCTTTGAAGCTCTAGAATCCAAAACAAGCAGCCAAAAATAACGGTCCACCCACTGTACATGTTGCAATATGATTTGTACTTAGTATGTAACACATATTATAGCCCAATTAATCATTTCCCTTCCACCCTAGATGCTTTAATAATTTCTTTCTGTCAATTTCTCCTTAAATGACTCCCAATCTTCCCAGAATATATCACTCAAACGGCCACTACCAGCAACTTGAGGCTCACTCACAGCTCTACTCCACCAGAAACTACACCCTCTTATGGCTCCACCAGGACTCCAGCATTATAAGTTCATGCTTCCTCAATTGACAAGTGGTACTGTAGGATCTGTTAGTCATGGGTATTTATACAGGTGGAGCAGATCACTGATCTATTTTGCCCAAAAATGAGTCATCTGCTTCTGGTTGAGCTTTGAAAAACAATTGTCAAGTTACAAATACAGACCTTGTGGAGGAGCTGATGATTTGCTCCAAAGATGCTTGCACTTGCTTTGGCTTCATTGGCAATCATCATGTCTTGAGTACATTGTTTTTATGTAAGGACGCTTGAAGAATTTTCTTCTGATCGTGTGGCAAGCTCATGCTATATGAGCTTGGCTTAATGGCTGATTTGCTTTCGTGCAAGTTTATGTACTTATTTATTTATATATTTGTGCAGTGTGAGTCCATACAATCCAATTTTAACTCTCTGCCTTCCACCCCACACACCTGACCCCCCACACACACACTGGCAATCAACACCAACCCAAGCAAACCTAGCAAATCCACCCCGCCCCCCCTGACTCAGACATCTCAGTGCGCATTCATCCAGCCCTCATAACATATTACTTACGACAACTCATCCATCCAGCTTTAACGACTACAACATAACAGCAACAACCACAACATCATCATCATTATCACTATCATCGTCATAAAAGGACATCCTACCACTTCACCATCTCAGTGTTATATATTATACTCCTCCAGCAACTCCTCCTCCTCCTCCTTTTACCATCATCATGAAAGAATACAAGGTTCGGTTGCTTCATCTTACCCATCATCATCCAGCCAACCAATTCAGATCATTTACTAATCACATCCACTTCTTCCCTCGTTTCCCACAGATCGTCATCATGGGTGGTCAGTCTTCACATCCCGTCCTCTCGTGCCCTCTTTCTAATCTGATCAACCTTCCTCTGGTTCCTCTTGTTCAGGCGGCGGTGTCGGCAAGAGCGCGCTTACCGTCCAGTTCGTTCATGACATGTTTGGTAAGCCAATCATCGTTTTCATCATCCCGAAAGAAAAAAAGGGAACCATTTTCCATTGTTTTCGTGTGATACAGTCACATCCAAACTGACTGGATTCTCTAACGATGATTGCTCCGCGACGGTGCGCGTCTATTCAGTTGAAAGATACGACCCAACGGTAATCGACCACTCCTCTTGATCGCTGTGTTGCTAGTCACAGACCCGAGGCTGATCCTCGAACTCTCATTATGATTTGACTCGACCTTCTCGTGATTGAATCTACAGATCGAAGACTCCTACCGCAAGATAATCACCGTTGATGGCAATAAAGTGACTGTAGAAATTCTCGATACAGCTGGAACAGAACAAGTAAATCACTTGTTGTTGTTGATTTTTTTCTTCCTCTTTTTTTGGATTTGAAGAAACTCAGATTGACTGATGAGGATGAATTTTGTTTTTATCTTGATAGTTTGTAGCGCTTCACTCGCTGTATGTCAAGTCAGGCGATGGATTTCTACTCGTCTTTGCACTGAACACGTTAGATTCGATTCATGAGCTAGAGGCCCTACACGAGTCGATCGTCCGCATCAAGGAGGCGGAAGGATATACGGACAAGATCCCGATCGTGCTGTGTGGGAACAAGTGCGACTTGGAAGAACGAATAGTGCAGCGAAGTTGGGCGGTAGCTCTATCGCAGGAGTGGGGCGGAGTGCCCTACTACGAGACCAGCGCCCGGAAACGGATCAACGTCGACGAGGTGATCGCCGACCTGGTCCGTCAGATCATCAAGGCAGATCGACTCGGTCATCTCAATCATGGTGGCCCTGGCCGTCATGGCTTGGGCGGCAAAAAACGCAGGAAACGCGTGACCCCTAACGGCGGCTGCTCAATCCTATAACCCCTGCCCCCCTCCCCCCCTTCTTCTCTCGCCTGCGTTAGTGTTTTTGTGTTTGTGTTTGTGTACAAGTCGAATTTGCATTGTGTGCCTTCCCAATCTCGGTTTCCTCAAAACACAAAATATACCTCCCTGTTCCCGACAGCTCTCGACGATCCTTTTGACGACTCGATACGACCTTGTGATGTGCTTCTTTCTTCCCTTCTTTGCCCAGCTCCCTCTTTCTCTCTTCTGGCCTTAGATTCGTCGGCTTTTCACCTCTCGCTCAATTCAATCTACACGCCCTTGTTTGTGTCTCTGATCGATCTCATCTTTAAAAAACCGACGAATGGGTCATCGGCCTGGAATCGGTCCACTACCTGCATCGCCTTCCCTCTCTCTCTCTGTCTTTCTTATCCAAAATCGACGCTGGTTCATTTATTTCACTATCCTTTTCATGCTACATCTTTCCTGTTTTTTTTATCCAGCTTGATCTAGTCCAGAAAACAAAACAAAGAAAAACACAATCAAATTAGAGAAATCCTCCCTCTGTTTTTAAGAATATAAGCTCCTGTCTTCATCCTCATTGATGTCAATCATTTCCTCTTTATTTGTGGTAAGATTTGATCATGTTTATTTATCAATTTCTATACATATTCATATATTTGACATCTCAACTTATGTAAACATCTACATAGTATTTATCCTCCTATCTTTTATCTTTTGATTGATCATTTTTATTTTTATTTTGCCTTCGAGTTCTTATTTTTTTTTGTTTGACTGTAAACTGATCTTGCATGATGCTCAAGGGTCCAAATAATCTTAAAAAAGCAGAGCTGCATATTGTCAAGAGCAGGCAGAGATAAGTATACAGTTTCAGATACATAAACAATAATTGAGTCTCATCCAAAGTAAGTATGTGTTCCACTATTTTCTCTTTTTCAAGAGCTTGAATCTGTTTCACACACATTTAATTTCACTTTTTTTGCTCAAGAAATCCAGACCTTGCCCTTGAATATGAATGGTCTTGATCTCCCCCACCCATGGGGGTTCATACACTTACCATCAAGGATTGATGTTTGTTTTCTTTTTTCAGCTCCTATCAATGGAGGTTATGCCATTGGAGAACACATAAATGCCCTCTTTAGCAGAACTTTTTGGCTCTCTTCTTTGGTGGAAAGGGTTCCCAAGATACATGAAATCATGTGAGTGTCATCACTCATTACATACATGAATTCATGTGTGGGTCAGCACATTCAACTACATGTAAGCAAATGATCTTTTCTGAGGCTTTGTTCCCATCCAATCATCTTTCATTTTCTTCTAGCATGGAGGCTTGAAATCTATTCAAACCACTTTGAGATAACTGCTTGGATGTTACATTTACAACCTAACCTGCTTCACCCAATCAACTGATCTATAGGCAATATTTGGGCTGCCATCAACAGTAAGTCATCATAATTGTTATTTCCATGTTCATATTTACAAAGCAATTGATGTGATGCAGGCAGAGAAGAGAAAACAAGAAATAGAATGAAAATGAAACAACTCGATGTATACGTAAAACAAACATTATTATCATGTATGAGTAACCACGGAGTGGGGATCTAGATGCTCTAAGCAAGATTTCAGATAAAAGGGTTGACTGGTGCTGAGTCGGGACAATGTATTTAATTTGAAAACATGGAGATGTCAAGCGCAGTGAAAATATCTAGGGTTCATGCACTGATTTGTGGATCTAGTATACTAAGGCGTGCAATGGGACTCCTTCAGGCAACAGGACTTTCTTTCTGCTGCGTGATCAAGTTCCCAGCGAAGTAGCGTCCAAGGGCAATGGTGAACAAGGCGCCGGAAGACTTCAGGAAGTCGCTGATGTAGCCGGCCCCGGGGAAGAGCTTGAATCCCGACATTCCTAAATCACTGATGAAATTGTCATGTTGACTGTGCAAAGAAAAAATTGTCAATTCGAGCGCTCAGGGATAGAAAAGTAGAACAAGATTTTAGACAACGTACCGCCATATTCTGTACTTTCCATCGGATTCTAGTCGAAGGTCAACTCGCACCAGGAAGCGAACGGATATAGGGTGTGGTGACAAAGTCGGAAACAAAATTGATTTCATATCCTTAACGTCTTCGGTGAGGTCTGTCGAAAAGAAGTGGATTTTCGCAAGTTAAGACAATTAACTTCGTGTACTCTGATTGGAGCGCAGCAAGAGCAGCTGCAAAAGAGCTCTGACATACCTAACGTGCAATGCATTAGGTCCTCGCTGAACATCACCGCATGGAAATGGATCTTGTTGTCCTTGGTGGCCTTGCGGCTGAGAAAAAAAGGGACAAGAGCAGGCCAAATGAGAACGAATTCGCAGGGAGATGAGAGCAGAAGAGTTTGTCAGCTTACAACACATAATACAAAGCTTTCAAGTTGTCCCTTCCTCTGGCCAATTCGGGCTGATTCGCCAATGGGTGAAGAATGAACGCATCCTCCGTGAAGTATCTATCAATTTGATTAAGGCGGATTTGTCAGTTGATACTCTGGGAAGGAGACGCATCATTACAATCAGTTACAGAACGCTCACTTTTCGATATTCTTCAGGACGGTTTCCGGATCCTGCGGTTCGGTGATGGATCTGACGACATCTGCAATCTGAGAAACGTGGGCAACATGAGTGATTGGGGCTATTGTTTTCGACAAGAGCAATCAAATAAAGGCAGTGTTGGGAAGCTCACTTCTGCTCGCGGATTTTCCATGATATGGGTCTTGGATTGAAGGTATTGATAGTAGATTTGAAAGATTGCTGGAGACTTGTTGGGTATTGGACCTTGTGGAACGAAAGCTGAGGAGAGGCTGTGTGGGGTGTTAATGAGCAAAGTGGCAGCGGTGATAGCCAGTTATATATATCCTGATAAATCCACATATAGCCAGGCCTCAAGGTATCGCATACACACATGCTCATCCGACCGACCAGGGTGACTTAACCTCGGAGCTGGCTTCTCCGTCTATCCCAGTCCGCCCTTTCAGGATATTAACCATGCAGATTGGTGGTCCAAACAGGCCCCGGAGTAGCGTAGCTCGCAATCAAGACTCAAGTACGGGCAACCGTGTTTTTTTTTTTCGCCTGTTTTAAGTGAGGCGGCTCGTGATCTCTCAGACCAGACCCGCCGAAATTGGCCGAATGCAAGCTCGCCACATTCAGGCTATTCAAGCGCAATCTTAGCACATGCCAGATTTCCTTTCTCAACAAAAAAAAACACCCCTCAATGTGCTTGCCAATAAGTTTGGACCATAAGCTTGGATAAATTAAATTCTCTGTCTGGTCGATTCATGTTGGTCCCTTCCTACCATCTGCACAGCCAATCACTTTTGGGATTAGTGAAGTAGACATACAATGGGTCAGAGGTGCCAAAACTCGGCCGAAGAAGCAAGAAGTGTCCGATAAGAACACAGATTCCCGTTTCATACATATCGGTTTCTCGTCGATTGTTTTCTCGTCGATACTTGCATGGTAGGTAGATGTTGATTAGTTAAATTGCACAGTTGAAGTGAAATAAACCTGAACGCATCAAAGTCAGAAATAACTTATAAGATCACGATCTAGTCAAAAAGCGATACGAGACGCCCGAGATGAAAAGAAGGGGACATCTCTGCTCATTGGGTAGCAGTTGCACCTTGACATGTTTCCTCTACTACGTAAGCTCTAGGACTGGATGATCACTGGACAGAGAGGGAGACGAGAAGGCATCCTCCCTACTCCTTCAAGAATCTAATGATCTGTCTTTTTTTCGTGCCTAGAGCCATAACTGAGAATCCCAGACTCAGCCTGGAAAACGATGATGATTGTACATCAAAATGCAAACTGAGCGACTGGGCCTTTTTCATCTTCAACCCGTAACATTAATTTTGAGCACAGTATGGACTTGAAGATACGAAGAATTAAAGATTTTTTCTAGGAAACCTTTTACACGTTTCTGCTCTGGAGGTAGGGCATCAGACAGAATCCACAGACCCAGCACTCTTTTGTATATGAGTATTTTGGGGGGACAGTGCTGGGGGCCTTCTTGTTCCATCCTTGATGGTCTCAGCCTCATGGGCAGGAATTCTTGTTTTCTCGACTTGGACTCTCCCGGAAGGTCGTGACGACTGACAGATGAAAGATGCTTGCTGGAGGAGGTGGCGACGATGGTGAATATAAGGTACACAGCTCTACAAAGCAAATGATGTGATGAAACCAAGAAACGGATGAAAATGAAAATGAAACAACTCCGTATATAAAACAAATGTTTTTCATGTATGGGAAAACACGGAATTGGGATCTACATAGATGTTCTAAACAAGATTTCAGATCGCTTTGTCGACTGTTGCAGAGTCGGAGGTATGAACTTATCAAGCGCAATGAAACTATCTGGGTTTTAGCAACCGAACGGTGGATCTGATGTAATGGTGTCATGTGGGGTGTTACTTCTTCAAGCAACAAGGGTTTCTTTCTGCTGCGCTGATCATGTTCCCGGCAAGGTAGCGTCCAATAGCAATGGTGAATAGGGCCCCGGAAGACTTCAGCAGGTCACTGATAAAACCGGCTCCAGGAAATAGCTTGAATCCCGACATTCCTAGATCGCTAACAAAATTGTCATGTTGACTGGACGCAGAAAAATTATGACTTCATTAGCTTAAGGAGAAAAAGTTATCTGTTTAAATTTATGATATCAACATACCGCCATATTCTGTATTTCCCATCGGATTCTAATCTGAGGTCCACTCGCACCAGGAAGCGAAGAGATAGATGGGTTGTTGCCAAGGATGGAAACAGGGCAGATTTGATATCCAAAACATCTTCGGTGAGGTCTGTCCAGAAGATACGCGTTTTCGGGATCATGGAAGACAATCAATTTCATACACGCTCTGGACCCCGGTAAAAGCCTGTGAAGAAGAGCATGGGACATACCTAACGTGCATTGGGTTAAATCCTCGCTGAACATAACCGCATGGAAATGTATCTTGTTGTCTTTGGTACCCTTGCGGCTGAAGAAAAGGGGAAAGGGCAGGCTGAATAAGAACAAAGTCGCAAGGAGATGAGAGCAAAAGAATTTGTCAACTCACAACATGTAATACAAAGCCTTCAAGTTGTCTCTTCCTCTGGCCAATTCTGGCTGATTTGCCATGGGATGAAGAATAAACGCATCCTCGGTGAAGTACCTAATACAATACGATCGGTGTGGCTTTGTCAATTGACACATACTCCATGAAGGAAACATATGATTACAATCAGTTAAAGCTCACTTGTCAATGTTCTTTAATACGGTTTCCGGATCCTGCGGTTCCGTGATTGATCTGACAACATCTGCAATCTAAGAGCGATGGCTAGCATGAGCAAATGGGGCTGTTTTTTGGACAAGAGCATTAATCAGACCGAGGCAGTTTTATAAAGCTCACTTCTGCTCGGGGGTTTTCCATGTTAAGGATCTTGGATTGTAGGTATAGATAGAGATTTGCTGGGGGTTTGTTGGGTATTGGATTTTGGAGAACAAAGCTGAAGGTTGGATGTGTGGGGATTTGATGGGCAGACTAGCAGCGGTGATAGCCAGGTTTATGTATCCTGATAAATCCACACAGAGCCAGGCCTCAAAACATCGCACCCACACATGTCCATCCGACCGACCAGAGTGACAGTCTATGAGTGACTTCACCTCGGAGCTGGCTTCTCCGTCTGTCCAGTCCGCCCTTTCAGGTTGAACCACCCAGATTGGCGGTCCGAACTGGTTCCGGAGTAGCATACATAGCTCGCAATTCAATGCGAGCAACCGTGTTTTTTTTCCCGTCTGTTTTGAGTGAGGCGGCTTGTGATCTCTCAGACCAGACTTGCCAATATTGGCCGAATGCTCACCATATTCAGGCTATTCAAGCGTTATCTTAGCACATGTCAGCTCTCCTTTGTAAAAAAACACCCTCAATGTGCCCGCCAAGAAGATGGGACAAGTTCATTTCTGTATGAATCAGGTCGATTAATGTAGTTCCTTCCCTACCAACTTGACAGCCAAACGCCTGTGGGAGTACACAGGGAAGTATAACAAGGGTGACGGGTCAGACAAGAACAGACCGAAGAACCAAACTTGCCTAAAACCCTCGATCGGAGGCGCGAGAGCGTCAACGAGAAGCGACCCTCCGAAGATGAGATTAACACAGATTTCCGGATTTTCTTTTATCTTAATAAAATTTTGTTCGCGTGCTTGTATGGGATTAGTCAGATTTTAACTAAGTTAAATTCCACAGCTATAGTAAAGTAAAACTGAAGGCATCAAAGCCAGAAATAGGATCCCGATCTAGTGAGGAAGCGATACGGCGACGCGTGAAATGAAAAGAAATGAAAACGTTCTAACAGAGCATAGGCTCATCTCTGGCACTCTGCAGAGTGGATAGCACGTTGACCTCTTCCCTCGAGGACGGGATGCTCAGTCGCCAGAGGCATGGCTCATGAGTATTTGCTTCTCCTGCCACCCAACAGGCAGAGGGAAGACGAGAAGGTCTTCGACCTAGACCTTCAAGAGTTAAATAGATGATTTTATTTCGTGCCTAGAACCAAAATTTAGAATCCCAGAGTGCTGGGAATGCAGTTTATATAAACCAGTTAGGAAAACAAAGATGATCATACTTACACATGGATACTGATCGATTGAGACTTTTTTGTCTGGAATCGGCAGTGCCAATTTGAGTTAAGTATGGACTGGCTTGAAAGCGTGAAGAGATAGAGGATGGTTTTTTCTAGGAAACCTTTCGTACTTTCTTTTCTGGGGGTAAGGCATCAGACTCCACAGATGCAGCACTCCTTTTGATGGGAGTCTTTTTGGGGGATGGAGCTGGAGACCCTTTCGGTTCATCCTTAATTGTGTCAGCATCATGGGGACCTTCGATTTCCAGTCCGGGAAGTACGGCTGGAGCTGTCCCGACTAGCCCCTTCTTCTCCATCTGCTTTGAGTCGGGACCTGAAGATGAGGCTGCTTGCTTCGAGGAATGCGATCCAGAGGGCCGAGTTTGTTTATTGAAAAACGACATGATGTTACCTTTTCTCTGTGAAATAGGCTTCAGCAACAATATAAGACAGGTCAGCGCAAGGAGTGGACCTTAGCTTGTGGATCTAGGAGTGTAGATTGTTAGATTTGGCTTGGGGGAGAGGCGAATATCAATGGCTTACTTTCAAAAAATCCGCACTCTGATTGCCTACTTTGCCGACTTCCTTGGGTACCGGATAAGAGACTAAGCCGTCATCCAGACTGAATGGCTTTAACAACTTGGAAAGACTGCTGGACCACTCTCCACTGGAGGTGTCCAACCAAGTCTCTATGCTATCTCGATCAGACAAGATCACCGGCATTCGATCATGGAGCTAGATAAACCCAACGACAATGTCCAATAATCAGAAGCTTTAGGAATTCTGACACATCGCCTGATACTCTCCTGGGGGGGGGGGGTAGTGATGACTGACGAATGAGAGGTAATTGTTGGAGGAGGTGGTGATGATGGTGAATGTATGCAGCTCTTCAGTAGTCCCTTTATAACTTGGTGGAGTGGAAAGCGTCTTTCAGTGACCTAAACAAGTTTCAAGCATCTGAAAATGCTATAGAGCTTTCGACCTAACTCACGTTACTGAATCCCATAGTCCTGCAAGACACATCAGTTCGCCTCCTGTCCGTTTGGTGAAATGTGGGATTTTGTCTTTGCCTTTATTCAACCACTCAAAGAATCTATGATGCGATATTATCGGTCGATGGATCAGCTTGCCGTGTTGTAATCAGGATAGCATCACCCGACGTGGACGAAAAGTTTAGACTGACCCTTCGCATAATACGATGCATCGTTTCTTCCCCTTGACCGTGTTCCATAACCCGCGGGGCTCAACGACCTTGTCATCTCTAGCGTTGATTGTATTGAGTAGGCTTCCTAAGTAGAGCTCGAAATAAAGTGTTTTAATATCTTTTTCGCAAGATGCAGGGTATCAACTATCAATCGAGGTACTCACCGTGCGTGGGCTGGAAGTATCGGGTTGGGGGCATTCGCGATACGAGTGGGTCAGAAGAGGAGACCCGAAGAATTATAAGCTTGGGGGAGGGTAAAGAGTTGACTTGCGGGAGATTCCGTCCAATGAGGAACCAATCCCCATTTCTGCAAACGATGCCAAACAACACAACAATTCAGGGTTCAATCTTGAGAACATCTGGGCAGGAAGCATAGCTCGCACCATACAATCGACCACCAGTCGATTTTCCTTCGGATTGATACGTCTAACCACCGCCGCCCTACGACACATACCGAAGGAGTCCTAATCGGTTAAGAGTATGTTGTGGATGATGATCATGTCAAGATTCCGACCTGTTCTGAGGTGCCAAGTTGTAGTTAGGACGGTATTCGTCGGCATTCAGCCACGAGTCCACGGGCAGCTCCATTCCCTCGAGCATTGCGCTGACTTCCTGAGGTTGAAGTGATAACGCGAATCTGTAGAGAAAGAAAAATCGACGGTGAGTTGATCAATCATCACCCCGATCGGAATAAAATAAAAAAAATCGTGATGGCCACTCACCGGCCACACATGGTCTGCTTGACGGTAGGTTTGTTGGATTTATGTGCACATTTATTTAATAATCGAGTTACGGTCCAGACACCTGTGGCCCCTGGGTTCTAGTACTACAGTACAACCAAGCCGTTGGAAGTTTGGGTTGCGAGCTCCAAACCCACTGGGATCTCTCCAAAACTCAACAACAACTTCTCATACTTCATCGAAATTCATAGCCTCTTCTGCTAAAATTCCCAACATCAAAAGCTCTCCGACTTCAGTGGAACCAGTCTCTCCAATCTCATCGGAAACAACTCTAATTCCGAACGTACAACTAGCTTGGCCTTGCGAGACTTACAAATCAACGGATTCGGCTTCCTCGACGTCTCGGATCTTTATACACATCGGTTGTTTTTTTCAGCACAACAAGCCGGTCAAATAAATACAACCGACCCTCTACTCCCGAGACTAGACGACCCAGAAGCGATCATCAAGAAAGTCATTCACCCCACTCCTCACTCACTTCACCAAAAACCATTTTATCCTAGCCAAAACATCTTATCGTCGCTACAAATTTTCAACCGATCACAGCGTGACACACCTAGGTGGTCACCTCACAGCCATTAAGCTTATGTATGTCCATTCGCACGTCCTTACATTTTGCCAATCGTCCATGTGTGCAATCGTTGACATCGCTATCCCTTCACATCAGTAGATTCCAACCGATTGGCAGCCGGGAGCCTTTACCAATCACATCGTCTTAGGAATAGTTCACGCAAGTGTTTTCTTCCTCGGATCTTGATCAAGACTATATCTGCAATAGTGCAAGCGCTGATATAGCTTACCTCCCTGCAGGTTATTACAATGAATTGCTCCCCAGACCGCGAACGGATGTCATCGGATGAGGACTTGGTGGCCAAACTTCGCCATCGGTATGTAGAATTACATTCGAATAACCAGTTCGATGATGATGATCAGTCGTTCTCGAGATTGCTCGGTGAATCTTCAGGTGTGTATTCCATTACATTGTTCATCATTGTTTTTTCTCCCTGCACGCTCCGGCTGATTGACTTCACTTCCTGGACGTCAAGAGAAAAAAGTTCAGGAATACCTCGATGGGCTTGCTGAAGCTTACAGCAAAGTACAAGGACTCTCCCCAGATCTTCGAAATTTGTTGTGGCAAAAGTTTCTTCACAGAGTTCTTGGCGGCCGGGACTTTCTGGTGGCATTTTACCAAGTCAAACAAGGTAGCGACTTTGACCAGCAACTTATCAAGCTCGCGTTCTTCCATCAATATCCACGTTGGGCTCAACAAGAAAACGTTGACGAGAAACGGATGCTCGAGGCACTCGTCGCAGGCTCTGTTGCCGCAGGAGAGGAACTTCTTACTGCCGTAGTAACTGACTCCGAGCATGTCAAGATTGTCCAAGCTGGTTTCAAACACGATTACTTAAGGCATGAGACTGTTGCGCTACCGATTCTCAAACGCATCAGCAAAGCTGCTGAAGAATGGTCTACAGATCATCTCGTCCCACTTACCTCCTTGGTTGGTCCGAGTATGATTGGAAAGACCCGCTTACTCCAACAACTTTCGAAAAGCATATGTGTTATTTACCTCTGCCTGCGCCCACTTGGTTCGACTGGGCTACCCCCGAGGTCTAAGCTTGCTGATGAGCTAACTCCTGCCAAGACGACAGCTCCTGAATTAGAACTACACTATACACGACTTCTGGCTGCTATTTTCGACGTGGTAGCAGAATTCTTCTCCAAACAACTAGCCCCACATAGCGAAGAGGAACGACTACAGCAATGGTTTGACTTTAATGATAAATCTGGGAACAAGTTTGCATCTAGAGTTGTTGAGAGACTAAAACAGATTGCGCACAACCAGCGTGAAGCTTCTGAATCACTCCAGACCAATTTAGAGAAACTGCACAACAAAACACGATTTGTTGAAAACCCTCACCTCAAGGTATTGCTGGCCATTGATGAAGCCAGGTTACTTGTGCAGCTAGAAACAAGTGATCTCTCGCGGGTCACATACTTTCAGATTCTTCAGCGGATTTTGTCAAAGATACCAAGCTCAAAAGGATTCTTTGCCATTGTTACGGACACCACAATCAAAGTGGCAGATTTCAATCCCACTCTGTACAACGATCCCAGTGCATGACCACCACCCGATTACAAGCCCAAAAAACTGTTTGCACCTATATATGATATTGGTACCTTTGACTCAAAGGTTCCCCCAGGTCGACCACGGACATGGGAAGAATTGTTATCACCGCGGCGGCTTCTCAGTTATGGTGTCCCGTTTTTTGGAGTTTACGTTAAGGAAGCAGAGGCAAGAGGGATGTCAATTTCTGCAATTGTCACAAACATCAGAGAAATTGCCATTGCCAAGTTATTATGCATTCCACCCACCTCAACTCTCTCTGAAGGTCAAATGTTTGCTATGCTGGGTTCTACCATTCAGCCACAAATCTATGAAGCAGCAAGATTGAATTCTGAATTGATTTCAAGTCATTTGGCTCACTGCTTGTACATTTCGCCATCTGGCAAAAGAATCATTAGCGGATACCCATCTCAGTTCCCTCTCTCCATGGCGGCTAACTACTTCCTTGCAACCGACAACAATAGGTTGATCTCCTGCATCAAGGCCCTCACTGTCATTCTGCAACAAGGACTCATCTCCTCGGGGAATGCTGGGGAATTAGCTACTCGAATCATCTTGTTGCGGGCGATGCACAAAGCCATGTCAATTTCCACCCAGACACACATTCCGTATGGGTGCTCGGTCAAATTGGTGGATTTCTTATACTGCTTAACTGGACTGGAAGAGGAAAACCTGGACCTCGGTAACATAGCACCTCAGCAGAAAAAACGGCTCTTGGCTAAAGGTCGAATCTTTTGGAACCACTTTGTGCAGATTACTTACACACCAAATGCGGGGGATTTTTTGGAATTCTTGTACCGAGGTCTGGCGATACAATGTAAGCCCAACCAGCCGGCATTCGACCAACTGTTTACGATTTACCTTGAGTCAGATCAGCCAAACTCAGCACTCAATCAAGACCACATCTCATTTTGCGGCATACAAGCAAAGAATGAACAAGTTGACTTTATGAAAGAAATCCCCAAGTGGACAGATCAGTATGCAGGCATCACAATCAACTCCAAAAACCCTTATCTTGTCATTATCTTCAGCTTTAAAACCAAATCAACTCCTCAAAAGCTACCAGAAATTGACAATAGAGGTTCTCTCATCTTTCACGGCCTCAGTCAAATCGACTGTCTGACAGATGGAATGTCTGAAGCCTTACAAGAACTACTAGCTGTTGACCCAGACATTCGGGACTTCCACAACGACAAACACATGCAAACATTCATTGAGACCATTTGCCCAATTGTTTACCCCGTGAGACGCCCTGCCTCTGATGTTGAATTAAATGGTTTGGACTCTGATATCAATCTGGATGCACTTAGCAAGGCTCAAGATTTGGACTGTCAAATGAATGATTGACCATGCAATGTTTTACTTGATCTACTCAATCTTTTTATTTATTTTGAATCCAATCTTGTTAGTACTTGCATCAAACATCTTTTTTTCTTCTTCTCCTTCCTTCATTTTTTTTTTTTTTTTTTTTTCATTTTTTATGAAGGGGATTAATAAACGTACCCGGGTTTTCCGCGTTTAAACCCGGTTCCCCACACCCGGTTTTCCGCATATGAACCCGGTTTCATTTCTCCTTTTTCATGGGGATTTGGAGGCCAAGGGTAATTTTTAAAATCATGTAAAATGCCAGTTTTAATAATCCAGTCCCTTAAAAATGCCTAAATTTGATTTTAATTTAAATTTTAATTTTCCACCTGGTTTTGAAAAACCCGGTTTT